AAAATTGAGATTGTGGGGTAAACAATGGCAGGTGATGGCAAAAAACCTAGGTGAAAATTATCTAATGGGAGTATTTTAAAAATATACCCTATGTAGCTCCTTAAAAGTTTATGAAGAAAAGGGCAGGGGGAAAACCAATAAGTAATAAAGTGGAGGGGTGAAACAGATATATCAAACATGGAGACCACAATATCCTAACTGCCAAGAACATAATCTAGTTGTTAAGTGTATTAAGAGAAGCAATTAACTGCAAGAGGATTCTATAGTTTGACCATATGAATTCCTTCCTCTAGATGGGAACTCTTCTATAAATATTCAATAAATAAATGTTTGTTGAATAAGGATAAGTGAATCTGATAAATATAATGGGAAGTATTCTCAGCTTCAGTTTTTACAAACATGTTAGCCAAAATTTTCCAGTTAGAAAGGGTGATCAAAGAAGCATTTTTTATACAAGCATCAAGTTACTCATGCAGAACATCCACATAGACCAGACCAAGACCAACATAAAAGATGTTCCTAAATCAGAAATGGTAGAGCCAGAATGTACTGTCTCAAAAAACAGTATGCTTTCCCAGATATAAATCATAAAGAAAAACATAGTGAACCAAAACTTTGTTCAGACCTCATCTGATAATTTTCAAACAGAAATACAAGGCTGGAGATCAGGAAAGAAGAGTCTCCTCTTTAATCTAGAATTCTTTAAGCATCACACCCATTTGAAACCATTTATAAATCATTAGTGCATTCAGAAGAATCGATTTACATGTAATTAATTTGATTAAGAATTACTTATCACCTTTGAGTTTTAATATTATGTAAAAATATGCAATGATATTTGAAAGTAGTTCCTTTCGATTTGCTTTCTGAGGCTCTTAAAAGCATGAATATCATGGTTAAGAAATGCTGGCAAGAATTTAAAGAAATGACATTCATGTATTGCTGACGAAAGTAAGAAAATATTCTGGAAGTATCAAATTTAGGATATATTGAAGAAACTTACTCCATAAAAATAAAAGCACCAAAATATAAGGAAATATGCATAAGGATGTTTTTTGAAACATTATTTGTAGTGACAAAAACCCGGAAACAAATTTACTATGGAGTCTATTCTGCAGTTACTCAAATCACTATAAATTGGCAATATCTAACAATTGCTGAGAGAGGGAAAACAAGCATTAGAGTAATATGTTCATGTGATTTTGGTTTTCCAAAAAGTATACCATCTCCATATATGTAAATATTGGTTCAACAAATTACCTACAATATGCCAGGCACCATTTTGTGGTGCATATATTCTAGTGGAAGAGACAAATAAGATAAATAACTAAAATGTAGTATTTAGAATGTTAGAAAGTGAAAATAGAGAAGGGAAAAGAGTAGGAAGACTGTTTGTAAAAGGGAGACTAAAATATGAAGCATCTGAAGGGATGTTCAAAGCAGTAGGCACAGCAAGAGCAAAAAGAATAATCAGTACAGATGGAGGAAGGTGACCAGAAAAAAGTAATGAAAAAATAAGATCACAGAGGTGTAAGGAATAGTATGGTGGTCAGCTCTTAAAGGGTCTTAAAAAGATTTTAGAGTTCAATATTAGGTATTTAACTTTAGTTACCTTACAATCACAGCATATGTTTTTCTTTAGTTATCTTTGCATAATTAACAGTTTAAACCGAGTACATTATTGAAATAAAGAAAAAAGAAAAAAACAAAGTTGATTGAGAACAGACATCCTTAATAGAATATCTCCTAAAACTGCTTCCTGACTTTGTAATCCATAGGAATGCAGTAAATCCCTACATGTATTTCTAATGTACTGTGTAAACATAAAAGCTATGAAAAAATTAAAGATTTTATTTAAAAACAAGAATCTATGTCTCATGTATAGCAAGGATGTTTCTAGATTTATAAAAATGCAAAAAGAAACATAATCATGAAATAACTATTACTTTGAGATTACTACACTTAAAAATAGAAGAGTAATGAAAAAACAGGATATTATACTTCAGAAAGAAAAAAAACTAAGAAGTAGGTTACCTTCTGTTACAGGAGGAAAGGGAACCAGGGAATTTAGAATTAAAAAAATGGATTAAAATCCTAGCCTAGCTTAGGCAAGTTAACTTAACTTCCAATAGATTAAGTTTCTTCATCTGTAATACTAGGACAATATTTTTCCTGAGAAGGCTAAAATAATATTTTTCTATCATACAACATGGCCTTATTATGTTGCTTGGTATTTAGTAGGCATTAAATAAATATAAGAGGAAAATGAATATGAAAATAGGTCAAGTAATAGTTATAGTGATTGTAACAATATCTACTCTAATGAGCTCATATTCTTTTAAAACTTCAAAATGGCCAAAAAAGTTAATTTTTTGTTTGATGAGAATCTAAGTCAGAATTCTTTTTAAATGAAGAACCTCCGACCAAAGCAATCCTGAGAAGGAAGAATAAAGTGGGGAATTACGCTCCCCAACTTCAAGCTCTACTACAAAGCCACAGTAATCAAGACAATTTGGTACTGGTGTAAGAACAGACCCATAGACCAATGGAACAGACTAGAGAGCCCTGATATAAACCCAACCATATATGGTCAATTAATATATGATAAAGGAGCCATGAACATACAATGGAGAAACCTCTTCAACAGCTGGTGTTGGCAAAACTGGACAGCTACATGTAAGAGAATGAAACTGGATTATTGTTTAACCCCATACACAAAAATAAACTCAAAATGGATTAAAGACTTGAATGTAAGTCATGAAACCATAAAACTCTTAGAAGACAACATAGGCAAACATCTCCTGAATATAAGCATGAGCAACTCCTTCCTGAACCCATCTCCTCGAGAAAGGGAAACAAAAGCAAAAATGAACTCATGGGACTACATCAAACTAAAAAGTTTTTGTATGGCAAAGGATATCATCAACAAAACAAAAAGGCATCCTAGAGTATGGGAGAATATATTTGTAAATGACATATCCGATCAAGGGGTTGACATCCAAAATACACAAAGAACTTACATGCCTCAACACCCAAAAAGCAAATAACCTGATTAACAAATGGGCAGAGGACATGAAGAGACAGTTCTCCAAAGAAGAAATTCAGATGACCAACACACACATGAAAAGATGCTCCGCATCACTAATCATCAGGGAAATGCAAATTAAAACCACAATGAGATATCCCCTCACACCCGTAAGGATGGCCAGCATCGAAAAAACTAAGAACAACAAATGATGGCAAGGATGCGGAGAAAGGGGAACCCTCCTACACTGCTGGTGGAATGTAAGCTCATTCAACCATTGTGGAAAGCAATATGGAGGTTCTTCAAACTATGTGAAGGTGTTGCAAGCTCTTGCTAAAAAAAAAAAAAAGAAAAAGAAAAGAAATACCATTTGACCCCGGAATCCCACTCCTTGGAATTTACCCAAAGAATACAACTTCTCAGATTCAAAAAGACATATGCACCCCTGTTTATCGCAGTACTTTTACAATAGCCAAGGTATGTAAGCAACCTAAGTGTCCAGCAGTAGATGAATGGATAAAGAAGATGTGGTGCATACACACAATGGAATAAGAAAGAAACAAATCCTACCATTTGCAACAACATGGATGGAGCTGGAAGACATTATGCTCAGTGAAATAAGCCAGGCGGAGAAAGACAAATGCCCAATGATTTCTCTCATTTGTGGAGTATAGCAATGGAACAATACTGAAGGAACAAAACAGTAGCAGACTCAGTGACTCCAAGAATGAACTAGTGGTTACCAAAGGGGTGGGGTGTAGGAGGGCGAGTGGGGAGGGAGGGAGAAGGGGATTGAAGGGTATTATGTTTAGTACACATGGTGTGGGGGATCATGGGGAGAACAGTATAGCACAGAGAAGGCACACAGTGGATCTGTTGTATTCTACTAAACTGATGGACAATGACTGCACTGGGGTATGGGTGGGGACTTGATAATATGGGTAAATGTAGTAACCACAGTGTTTTTTCATGTGAAACCTTCATAAGAGTGTATATCAATCATACCTTAATAAAAAAGTAAAAAGGAAAAATGAAGAACCTCTGATATGAAATAAATTTTCCAGAAAATACTGTATTTTCATTTTTGAATTAGAATGTTTAGAATACTTTATATTTTCTTTATGCAAGGTGAAATATATAGCTTAACAAAGTCAGCAAGTATAATAAAAAAAAAAAGAATGGACCTGACCCAAATCAAAAAAGGTTGTATCACTGCATATCCTTTATAAATTTAAATAGCACCTGATAAATTTTACAGCATTTTAACCCTTTTTTATAAAAGATAAAATATGGCAGAATATATATATTCTACAATATTCAATGCTAACCAGTTCTCTTCCTGCTATGATTACTATTTCTATGACATTCAAGAGCACAGAATTAATGACAGGAAAGGGGAGTAAAGGATTTATGGGACTGTACAAACAACATGTTGTTTGGAGTATTTTACTCCCATGGGAATAGATGGGAATGATGCTGTAGTCCGTCTGCCTCAGAAAGAAAAGTATAAAATAAATCATCCATTTAAAAAATGTACTCATTGAACATTCCACCAAGTTGTACTTCACTAGTTGGTGATGCCTTGGTAGTAGTGCATTTGATATATCTGATAAATCTGTTGGCAACAAATTACAAAGCCTAGGATCAATGAAGTATGTGGACTTGGATGGGGATTAAGAGATCATTAGCTGGGTAAGACTAAAATTGACCTTTAGAGACTAGGTTTTCTGACTTCCAGATCAGCACAATCCCTACATTAAAATTTTTAAAATTTGATTTAAGAAGAAAATTATTTTAATGATATTTAAAAAACTCAGAATTCTCTCTACTACTTGAGCCAAACTTGGAGAGGGAACCATATATACAATTTAATGCAGAAACAAAAATAAAACAAAAACAACAGATTACAGATTTGGGGTAAAAAACGAGGAAGGAAATAATGTAGGTACTTTTCATATGTAAAGGTTATCATTACCTTTTCCAAGTCTAACTCCTCTAATAAAATGCTGGCATTTTTGTTTGCTTCAGCAGCCTGTCTATCTTTGGCTTGTACTATTGATTCCATACAAAGATGACACTTCTTCAGCATCTCCTAAAATGAAAAATTAAGATGTTTCCAGCCTCAAAAAACAATGCACATTTAGAGAGATTCCTGAAAACATGAACGTATTAATTAAGGTACCTGAATGAACATAAGCAATAAAGATCAATGGCAAGGCAAAATAGGGTGCAAATAAAAATCTAGTTTAAATAGTATGTTTTTAAAAATACACAAGCATAAGACTCTACTGTTTTCTTCACAATAATATCCACTGACTGGTACTTTGGCAAATAAAATTATTCATTCCTGTAATTTGAATAGAAGAAATCATACACAGCAAACAGTTGTGATAACACTTATGTTTGCTGGTTAATGAGCTAACTGCCCACAAAGAAAACATGTTTAAGACATTTTAAAATACTTAATTGTCAAGAATTATTCTCAAATATTTAAAGAATTATTGCTATAACTTCATGAGCAAGAACCATTCATGAAGAAATCATAGATACAGGTACCTATACACTTTTTATCTCAGTGATTTCATTCTCAGAACATACCTTTTAACAGGAAAGCGGTATTTCCCTATTAAGACAAAAGCCTCATTTTTAATCTTCTTCCCCCCCAAAAACCCTAGTGGTATCACTTTCAAGAAATAGTGGTATCTACTGTCATAGAGGAATTTAGAGGCAAGAAAGACCATAAATTAGCTATTAATAAAATCCATGGCAAAAAGCTGCTCATTGTCATGTAATAATTGTTGAGGAAATATAATATAAATTCTTAGGTTTGTTGACCTCTTTGGATTTTCAGAGGCATGTCTTAGGATATTATTAAACTATTAGTATAAACTCCAAATCAAAATGCCACCAGGGACGATCTCAATTAGATCTCTAATAGAATTTATTTTATCCTCCCTACTTTCCTTGCAAAAATCCTAGCCAATTCATTCTTAAGCTGACAGTTCAACTTTTTTTTATATAATCTTAACATTTTCTTGCCCATGATTAGAAGCACTGTGTTCATTTTTGTTTAGGTATGAAAAAAAAATCTACTGGGCTTACCCCTCTCACAATAGGTATCAACCTGAATAAACATATATATAGATTATAGCCCTAATGAATTACAGTATCTGCTTCAGATTGTTTAGTGTTTATGTAAAACTAAATTAGCTCTGGCAAAATTTAAAAAGTAGTTCTACAACAGAAAATGTTTTCTTGCTTCATTGGTAAGTAAATAATCTGAAGAACCTCTTAAATAGTATACTTCATTCCCAAATACTAGATAAATGAAAATTGCCATACACCATGTGGGATATATATATAAAACCAAATGGGATCCCTAGCTCATATAGTGAGATGAATTTGATCAATAATATTACCTTATCAGTGATGGTTGCTATGTATCTCATACATTCAGAATCTGATGGAAACTGATTGACTTCTTTGACTAAGTAGCGCACCACCTTCACATGACCCTAAAAAATAGATATCGATGTCAGGTTGAAAAAAGGCTCTAACAGGATTCAGTAAATCTACAGTCTATCTTAACTAAATTCATGACACTGATGTCAAAGGAATCTAAGACTTAATTGGGTACTATCTGCACTGTAAATGAAAAGGAGACAGGTGTTGGTTCTAAAAAGTGAATCTACATTGTTAATTTTCATCCCACCCTCCAAAAAAAGCCAGAATAATCTGAACTCAAATTTAAACCATTATGAATTTACAAAAAAAAAAAAAAAATCAGCATGAAGAAATTGGGGGTATATCTGAAATTAATAAAAAATACTCATCTTTCTTTTCCTAGCTAATTCACTAGATGTGAGCATCCTGTTTTGGTTCTGAGCATTAAAAGAGTAGAAATAATAATTTTGTTCTTTATTGTATATAAAAATTGAATGCATAGCACTGTATTAGGTAGTATGAGAGAAATAAAATATACTTCCCTAAAGCATTACCTATGAATATACTACTCACTCTAACAGTTCATTAAGTTTAGTTCAAAATCTTTACACCAACTTTTAAGAGGCTCTCCATTTTGTGCAGTCCACACTATTGTGCTCTGATGCAACACCTGGCTAATTATAGCCAGGCTGGATAAACAGCTGTTTAATATATTTCCTCTATTCCTTTTCATCTGTATCTTTTAAAAACTATCCCTATTTTTTAATGAATTGTTCAAATGCCATTTGCATCATTCTTAATGTCTCAACACCACTACTACAGTATTTAAACTATTTATATGGGACAACTCGGAATTACATGAATGTGTGGACCTTATTTCCCTTATTAAATTACACCTTTAAAAAAAAGTGACTGCTAAACTGTACAATGTGATATCCCAACTATTATAATTGCACGTGCTAGGTACTAAAAAAATAGATAATGGAATACATACAAAAGAGTATAAAAGATAAGTATTGTTCTTACGGAGCTAAGTTTATTTGGAAAGATTGGATTTATGCACATTAAACATTAGACTAGTAAAAATATATATACAAATAAATAGATAATCAAGACAGTAACAGAGGTAGAGCTTCTACTACCTTTAGGACTTTAGATATTTCAATGTAAGCCCAAAAATGATGGAAAGAGGTTTTGTATCAGAGTAGATTCAAAGTATACCCAAAGAATGAGTAACTTTGGAAAAATAAGCAAGGACACTGGCATTCCTGAGATGAGAACAAAGGTGACATGAGACACAGTGACAAAGAAAAGACCAAGCTAGAAGACTCTCCACATTAGGGACTCATAATAGGCAATGAGCTCTAAGAGCACTAATTTGTTGTGGCTTTGAATAACAAACTTAAGATTGGATTTCAAAGGATACAGAGACTGGGAGACAGGAAAAGATTTTTGAAGAGGATACTGACACAGAGGGTGATTAGGAATATTAACTTGATAATGATATGCTAGCTTGCTTGGAGAAGAGGAAGGTAGACACTGAGAAAGTAACTGATTGGTGAAGAAAAAAAATAGTCTGTGGCTAGGTGGTCTAGAACACCCATGGAAGAGGTGGTATAAAAAACAGGATTCACAGAGAATAGTAAGAGAAAAAGGAAAAGAGGATATTGTTCCAATTTACGTATTAACATTTTTCAATACAACAAAACAGTTTGGAATCTGCAAGGGATTTTATCTACATTTCTCAGTATGACACAAAACCCAAATAGTAATCTGGTTTTCCCAATAAGAAATTAAAACTGCATTTAAGAGATCAAACCCTTAAGTCAAATTACTTATACACAGCTCTCTGCTATGTACTACAGAAAGAGAAAGTTTTCTCTCACTTTCACAAACTTTATTTCTAGTTCTGAATATAGTACAATTGATTGTTAGTAGTTTCAAATACTGACAGTTGGGTTTTCATTATTTCATTAATTCTTTTCCTAATAAAAACCAATGTTTAAAAATAAAATCAATTTTAAGTTGAATTTTTCTCTGCTGTGCTACTATAAGAAAACACTCATAAACAAGTAATTAGTTACTCTTAGATTTACATTTTGTGAGAGACTAAGACTGCTTCTAGATTTTGAAAATATTACTTAGAATAACTTTTTAAAGTTTCCTTAGCTTGCATGTCCAATCTGGGTAATATAATGGCTCTCTGGGATATCTGTATCTACCTTTCAACGTCACCCTGAGAATGATTACTTGCTCATTATTTTAGTTTTCATCACTGCTGTAAAATCCTAAAATGAGTCTTTAGTGGTCACTCAACTATGCACTTCCTAACCTAGGTTAAACATATCCAAATAAGTGAGGATGAAAGACTCACCTTTCTAAAAGCTGCCATAAGTGGAGTTATCTTGCGGTTATCTGCTGCATCCACATCTGCACCCGCTTGTACCAGCAACTGAACCACATCGAGGTGCCCACCATTTGCTGCGAGCCACAATGGAGTGTTCCCCTTCTTGTTACGTACATCAATGTGAGCTCCTCTAAATAAACAACATACATGACAAAAATTAACTATTAACTGTGAAAATATTCTGTAAAAGACAGGCATTGTTTATAATATTCAAGGACTAAAATACATTTTTCTCTCAATTACATTACAAAAATTTTCCACTCAAGCCATTGGGTTAAAAAACAGTATCAATAAGTGCTTTTATTTAAAAAATAATGACTCTGCATAGTTCTGAGTTTCAAAACTTGAAACTGAAAAATTCTGAAAAATGTGACTTTATTTTGTGGAAAATAAAAGTACATCTGTTATGTTAATATCATAATCAACAGAACAACAGTAGCCAAGAGACACAAATAGTATCCTATGAGGCAACTGCCTATTTCAGATTATTTATACTTATGCATCTACTGTGTGGCTTCAGAGAAGAATGAGTCTAAAATCAACATGCAGGTTTAGCACTCAGTGGGCACCATGGTAGTTAGGACTCATGGTGACTAAGAGTGGCTGATGGTAGCTACTACTAAACATTACTGCTTAATATACCCTAAAAAGGTCTTTAAGACTGTTAAAATAGGAAATTCAGTTAGCAGCCAAGTATCTTTGGAAGACTGTCAGACAACTTCTAAGTGACTGAAAGCAGAAACTATCATGGATCCTGTCTGATAAAGAACAAGAAAATAAAATATGAAGGCTAAGATTAACAGACTTTCAAGACTTGGAGTAATATTCTTTGTAAAAGTCAAACTGCATGGGAGCTATGAATATGGATGACAATAGTTGGATATTACAAAGCTCAGCTTATTCTAGTATTTTGAAAGCATATATGCACAAGAAAGGAAGAAAAATATTTCTGACAATGTAGCATAGCCCTGAATGGGTGGAAAATAACAGGGGTAGGTTTAAAAAATTTAAACATGCACTTGTAGGTTACACAAGTAATCTCATTTGATTTTTTAATAGTCCAATTTGCACAGAGAGAATAATTATCAATAGTAACACTGTGTTCATACATGTGGGATATGGTAACATCATACCTGCCAATGAGAAGCTCACAGAACTTATAGTGCCCTTTATCTGCTGCTATGGTTAAAGCTGTATCTCTCGAAGATGGCACTGGGGGAGCATTAACATCAGCACCTTTATCCAAAAGAACTCGGCCCACCTCAGCATACCCACCAGAGGCAGCTTCCATCAGTGGTGTGAGGCCAGTCTAGGTTTAGTGAAAAATAAAAAACAGCACATAAAAGACCAGAAGAGCTGAAATGTTTGAGAACAACAATCAGTAGGAGCAATATGGTATAGTTATTACAAAAATTCACAACTAACTTTCAGCACCGACACTATTGGCCTGAATTATAGTGTGATCTACTGAAGATGATTCTAAACTAGCTGCAGTTTGTTGGGAAAAAATTTGTGTAAGATGCAAGCACTTGGCATATAACTGGCACTTGATAAATGTTCCTTTTCTCTTTCATCACAGTACATATTTCCAGCTAGTAACCCTAATATCATTATTACCTTCAAAATGTTTTGTTGACGTATCTCCAAGAGTTAATATTTGATTCAATCATACTGAATGACTTCTGATTAAATATGTATCTAAGAGGTAAATGTTACCAGAAAATACTAAATTTATAATTAGCATATTGCTAATGTACACTTTAAATATCAAAGCAATAAATCCATGTGTAAATTTCAGACTTTTTCTTACCTTAGCTCTGTGCTCTACATTTGCTTTTCTATCAAGTAGAAGACTAACCACTTCAGTTCTTCCTTGGAAGCAGGCTAAGGTAAGGGCAGTGTTCCGATTGGTTTCTATTTGAGCATTTATGTCAGAGCCCATGTCTAACAGGAGCTTAACAGCAGCTGTGTGCCCATTCATAGCTGCTAACATTAGAGGAGAAATGCCCAATTTGCTACCAGTTCTGGGGATGGAGGTATGGGGAGAACAAAAGGAAAAATACATATTTTAAATGTCCAGAAAAATTACATGATAATATAGAATTATATTAAGATTTATGTAAGATGCTTTATTTTGCAAGATTATTTAAAGTAATCACTTTTTTAAGCCCTAGATAAGTCTGTAAGATACTATCAAGATACCACTACAAATTTTTTGCCACCCAATACTTTCTGCATCTCATTTAACATAATGACATAGGCTGAAATGTAATTATTAAAATTATTAAGTGACTAATAAGATAGATATTAAGATCCTATCCTAAAGTATGTAGTCACTTGCTTAATAAAAACTCATAATAAAAATGTGTTTACTTTTAGAACCATAAGAAATAGAGAAACATATATTTTCAAGTTCAGTGTCAACAGTTTGAATACTTAAATAAAATTAACCTTAAAAACCTCCAACAATTTGGATTGTAAATTTGTAATAAGGCATTTCCTAAATACGGCATTAAGAAAAATGAGTGTTGCACAAATATCTTTAACATTGCACTCTTAAGGGGCTTGTAGAGAGAATAAAACTTGCCTGGAATTAATCTCAGCTCCAGCATTTAGTAGTATTTTGATAATATTCACATAGCCACCAGAGGCAGCCAGGCTTAGAGGCGTGTAATCAGAAACATTCCTGTGCTCTTTATTTGCCCCTCGAGCTAACAATAGCTCCACCACCTGAGAAGAGAAAAGGAAAATATTTGTTTTATTCTTAAGGCAAGACCATTTGTAAGATGTCTATTTCTGATTTCTCTTTTTTTCTGGTTATTAAATAACAGAACAAGGGGGAAAGTCCTTCTTTCATGCTTTGCACAAAATCAGCCTCAAATAATACCAAGAGTTCTCAGAGCCAACCAAGAGATAGTTTCAATTAAAATCCACTTTGGCATCTATTGATATGGCACGGTATGTTCATGAAAGATTTGGATCTCCTGTGTTGTGCAATGCTATTTTGGAAATTAGTATTTCTGTGTTATTCCACCACACAGTAGTAAAATAGAGTAAGATTTTTTCATTTATCCATGTGAATGTCTTTAAAACATTTTTTAAAACTTACAATCAGTAATTAAATGTTAAAAAAATGGGAATAAAGCTAATGCTTATTTTTTCCCCAACATATAATTATGAAAATTTTCACACAGAAAAATTGAAAAAATTTACATATACTATCTAGAGCGTACTATTAATATTCTAACACACTCTATTACATCTATTTGTCAATCATTTTTTGATGCACTTCACTTGGTAAACTGTAGACATCTGCAGTTACCTTAAATACATCAGCATGTATTTAAGTAGACTATTACTTGTTTTCAGTATTTTTAGGTGAAATCTGTAATCTGCAATAAATGTTAAAACTTGAGTATACATTTGCTGACTACTGACAAATGCATAAATCTAATATAATGTAAATCTGTTGTTTACTCATGTCTCTTCCCAGCCAATCCCACCCACAGATTATTAGCTTCATCTATCTTAGATGTGCATATAAATTAATCACAGTGTTTCAGAGCCATTTGTGTGTATTGTATAGCATTCCATTATAGGATATGCTATAGTTTATCTTCCTACTGATGAATACCATTGCTTTGTTTCTAGTTTTTAGAAATTTTGAATATAGTTGCTATGACCATTCTTGTGGAAATGTATTTTCACTGCTCATGAGTACCACCTAGTAGAATTTTTGGGTGTATGTATAGTTTTATAAGCAATCACCAGACCTCTTCCTAAATTGGCTGTATTATTTTTACTCCTATCAGCAGTGAGTGAGTTCTGGTTGTTCTATATCCTTGGCAACATTTGGTATTGTCATTCTTTTAATTTTGGCCATTCTAGAGAGTATGTGATAGTACCCCACTGGGGTTTAATTTGAATTCCCTGATAGCTAAAAATTGTAAGTGACTATTGACTATTCATAAATCTTTTGTCCACTATGCCATTTAATGCACAAATCTTTGACTCAGGTACTAGTAATTTCTCCTTTTTATGAATGTGGTGTAAGAGTTAAGAACTTAAGGATTGCTCAGATCATAGCTCTTCCTTGGTTTTACTATTAATAACATATCCTAAAATACTAACTGGGAATTACCAAATAAATGGTAATGGATGGTGCTTTGTCTTACATATAAGTTAAAACTTTACTCATTTGAATAAAGCTGTGAACCATTTTAGATATAACTCTGTGTCCATCATTTTTTTAGTCATGTGACAAGGTAATAAAAACAAGACCAAAAAATTGGCATTAGGCTATTTTATTTTACAGAGTCTCTCAAGCAATAAAACAGAAATCCAAGGATAATTGATGTTCTATCTCTCAGAGAGAATGGTTTCCCAAAAAGTAACATTCAATATGAAAGAAATCAGAATGTGATTTTATAGTAAAAATAACTTTCCAATGCTTTACTAATCACTTCAAAAGTACTGAACTGTTCTAATGACACCAAATCAAAGCAAAAGACTATTATAACCAAAATTATTATTCTAAAAGTCTTGTATAACTTATACACTATTATATAACTTCTATAACTCACCTGGTTATATCCTAATAAGAATATATAAAGATTACATATGATCTAGGCTTTAACACTGCTTTGAAAAGAAGGAAATCAACTGATTTTGATTCAAAAATTTGTTATATGAAGCAAGTATTTCAAACTATACAATGATTGAAAATCTCACAAGTGAAAATTTTGTTGTCTCTTACGCAGAACATCTCTAGTAACAAGTGCACCTAACTATCCACACATACAATATCTACTCCAAGTATAAAGCAAAAAATTATCAATTTATAAATTTGCCACAGGAAAAACTGTACCAAAAAATAATTATACCTATATTATCAATAGATTCCAATTCTTTTTAATCCACAAAATAAAGGATCATAACCCCTATCGTTCTACACATGAACCATTTCATTAGATTTCCCATTCTTTTTATGCAGGAATTAGTCTCTTAAATTTTTATTTATTAGTTCATTAAAAACCGTAGTGGATTTACTGATTAGAGTTCAATACCTGATGGCAAAGGGGTGGGGAGGTCAGTTTAAGATATACATATAGGGAGGCAATAGTTCAACCAGTTCACTAATCAGAGTACTTTAGATATGATATTTCAGAAGGGATACTGACAGTGGGTAGAACAGTCAGGTTAAGGGTTTGGAAAAGGTATTCTCAAGGTAACAGTCAAAAGATCAGGACAAGTTTCACATACAGAATAAGTGGCTGCTGAATAGAGAGACAAATATATGAAGGTACAAGAGGGTATAAACCTCTTTCCATTGGTTCAAAGAACAGAATTAGGAGCAGTGGGGTAACTCAGAGAAGACACACTTCAGGCTGGATAAATAGGAGAACTTTATAATAATTAGGACGGTGAAGAAAAAAAAGATTTTTAAGATGGGTAGTAAACTTACCTGGATCACTTAGGAGGCTTCCTAAATCTAAGATTCAATGACTCCTTAATTGAGAACTTGTCAATCCATAGAGACAGCATAACTGGCTACTCAAAAGCCTATATCCATTGTATATAGGATTGGATTTTAAAAAATTAGGTTATCCAGCTGATTATTAAATTTCAGAAGAAGACACACAAAGGGGGGTGTATAAAACTATAATTTCTGGTCCTACACCTGATCACAGTAGCTGTTCTATCTTCCTTAAAAAACTAAATGTTCATATAATCTTATCTGAGAACCTTTTTTCCAGAGGTGAGGAATGGTGGGAAAAAATTATAAGACAAGAGTCCTCAGAACACTAGAAATCATATACTCTTAATTCCATGCTAATCTTACATGTAGAGAGAAACAGAGGCTCTCTAGAGCCTAAGCACCTTTCATGCTAGGTACTATGGGATAGGAAAAGATGGATAATAGGCCCTGCTTATCAGGAGCTTACTGATTTGATTTGGGATGTCTAAAGCATTTGCTTAGTATGAATGCAAGGCTATTTTATTTTACAAAGAGTCTCTCAAGCAATAAAGGATTCCTATGGAACCCAGAGAGCAGTTTCTATGGCAGGTACTACTTTCAGATAAAAGGAATAACAAAAATGATTTTTCTGGCAAGATTGCCTTATGCTAACATCAATACTTGTCCTTTTGCTAATAATAATTTCAGTTACCTCTGTGTCAAATCTAAATGTCAATCCGTCATTCCTATAAAATCAGATATGTTAAAGCATATTTGCTAAACAGATGGAAGAAAAAAATTACACTGGGAAAAGCATTACCTCCTGCCTTCCCCCAGAGCAAGCCAAAGATAAAGGTGTGTCCTTGGTTCTTTCTGACTGGGCTTCAATGTCTGCACCATTGTCTAACAGTATTTCTACGACACCAACATGACCAGCTGTAGCAGCCAAGATAAGTGGAGTAAAACCTGGAAAAAATAAAGAACTTCTCACTACATGCTAAACAAAGGAACACTACTGACTTCCATTATATCTAACCATCAAAACACGGCTGGAAGTCACATTCTACACAGAACATAAATATTCCAGGGGAAAAAAATTAACAGAAGTAGGCCCTACCTTTCTTGTCTCGGTGCTCAATACTAGCTCCTCTCTCTAGCAGTGTTTGTACCAGTTCCTCATGACCACCAGCACAGGCAAGTGTTAGAGCTGTGTCATGATTACTCTCAGTCTGTAAAAAATTAATTTGTTGGTTATTAATTTAAAAATGTTTACATCAATTACATGATATGTACATATATCAAATACACACAGACACATATGTCCCACTCAACTGTTTCAACCATTTGGATAATAAGTTGTTTTTCTCCATTAGTGGCCAACTTGTGATTTTTTTAAAGGCTATAAGTAATATTTGAACTTTATGGATAAGTCTTAAAGCAGGCATGAAGAAAAATAGTATGATTTTTCAACGATGTTACATACACTATGTGATTAAAAGAAATGCTGTGACTCACTTTCATTTCTAGCCATTAATGGAGTAGCATAGACAAGGTTTATCTTCCTATCTCAAATGACTAAAAAAAAGAAGGGATACTATATGAAATGATGGTGGTTAGAGAGTGCATAACAGTGATGTCACAGGACAGAAATGAGTAACTCAACTCATTGCTAGAGTTTCCAGGCTGCAGTGAGGGGTGAGGCATCCAAACAGAGACTGGCAGTCTCCCTCAGTTGAGAAGACAAGATGGCTAGAATTCACGGGGCAGACTACTGGAGAAGAAAGCACTACATAAAGAGTACTCCAGAGATCTGCAGAGGGTTCCCATATGAATTCTGATTGCACATGTGTATGAGGAAAATTTTCCAGAGTCCAGAGAAAGACCATCAGAGGGATCAGATTGAACAACACCCAGAGATTACACAGGACCAGAAGTAGTTTGGTTCCCACCAGACAGAGTAAAAGGATCTCAAAATACACAGGATGGATTATCAAGCAAAATTTAGCAGTGGGACCAAATTTGCTATGCTGAAACCATCTAAAAAAACTGAAAAGCAAACCTTGAGATGAAAAAATTGGTTTCCAAATAACTTAACTTTATTAGAGAACCCCCGAAATACTTGAAGGAACAACAACAAAAATATATAATATACAGAGTATAAACAATTTATTTCTGACTTCTGCTAGTGACAGTAACCAATATTGGATTTATCAGTGGTCATACTCTATCATCGTTTAAATTCTTATTTAGTAAACTAAGTCCTCATACTTTTTAAGTACTCTAAACTTGTGCTGTCCAAAAAAGTTAACTACTAGCAACAAAGGGCTACCAGTACTTGAAATATGGCTACTGTGACTGAGAAACTAAATGTTAAATTTTACTTAATGTTAATTGAAATTAAAAAATTGATAATTAGGTATTGGGAAACTTTTCAGTATGTCTAGAGGATCTTGAGTAAAAGAACCTACTTTTCACCTGTACATTTAATCAAATCCAATTGCAAATCAAGCATTTCTAAGTTAGGTCCAAATTGAGATACATTCTAAATAGGGTGACAAACCATCCCAATTTGCCCATGACTGAAGGGGTTTCTAGTATCAGAGATTCTTGCTGCTAATATCAGAAAAGTCCCAGGAGAACTAGGCTGATAATGATAACTCTAACTTGCAAGTATAACATACACACTGACTTCTGAAGACTCGTATTACGAAATAAAAATGTAATGTATTAAATATCTTAGTAATTTTTCTGATTACATATTTAAACAATAATATGGATATATTAAGCTAAATAAAATATATTCTTAAAATTCATTATACCTATTCTTTTTGTTTTTAATGTAGCTACTAGAAAATTTAAAATTACATCTGGGTATTACATTATTTTTCTATTGCAGGCCGTTCTAGGCTATCTTCCCTTATTTTTATATATGCACCTCTATTATGGCACTTATATCACCCATCTTCCTTATGCTAACATTAGGTATATGTCTATCACCCTCGGGTTGATAGATTCCTGGAAGGTAGTGAACATGTCTTATTCATGTTTGCACTGTCCACCTACGAGTGATGCTTTGCCTAGGAAACAATACATGACAGTTAAGTTGAATGTGTGATAACAGCAGTAAAGAGCCACAGATTCAAAGACTATTACTAATAAAACAAAGGACTATATATATGAAATATCCATTTATTTTGTTTTTATATATTTACATATTTATTATATTCATGTAATGAATAGCAAAAGGAAAGGCATATTCTCCTAGAAGGTTAATAACACTAAAAATCAAACTCCATTACAAAAAAAAATGAGTAACAAGAGACAAAATGTAAAATTGATAGAGTCAAGAAATAAGAAAAAGCCTACTAGTCAGTGATGTAGGAGACCGCAAAAACTGCTCTGCAGAAGAGGCTGGCAGAGAGCAGAGCTACTGACTGCAGAGATCAGGGATGGCCACAAGGGAGAGATGCACCAACTACAACAATGGAGAAGGACATGAATACTTAAATGAGTGACAGCTCTCATTATGCTGTATTATTTGATCTTCACTTCAGATTTGTAAGGAAGGAAAATTTACGTCTGATTTCAGAGAAAAGGAGACAACAGCTCAAAGGAATAACTTTCTGATGGTCACATAACTAATAACTAGTAAGAACTGGCTTAAAAAAAACCAAGATCTTGGATACAAAATCCTGTTTTCCCCATTACATCAAGATTATGTGCCTAAAGGCACAGCTGCCTGGGGTCAGTATAATGTTAAGTCTTAATGTGTTCTCTACCTCAGTGTTTAGACAATCAGTAGAAGAGTCAACTTTATGATGAAGTTTATGAGGTTTCTAAAAGTCTTCTGGGGTTTGAAGAGTAATTTAGGAAAGTAGTGCCTATATTAAATAGACAATGAACAGACAAAATTGGAAAAAGCATGGAAAATTTTAGTGGAATATTGCTTTTTTCCCCACATTATAAAACATCAATTCAACTGACATCTATTAAGCACCTTTTATATTCAAAGTACTATGCTAGATACTATTGTGTTCACAAAGATAAGTAAATACAGTCCCTGCTCACTTGGAGCTTACTGATTACTGTGTAGGGCGAATTTATGTTCAAAGTATGAGAAAAATAGAAACAATGTATTATGAGAGGTGAAGGTAAAAATATATGTCTGGGAAAGGAGAGCTGGTCAAATTTCTTGGGGATCTTAAGAGTGGGTAACTTCATTGTATTTGCATTAAGGATAAATGAAATTTTATGACAAGCTTTTTAAGATAATAATGGAAGAATTTAAAGATTCTGATGTAAGGCTTTCACCTCCCCAAATATACACCTACACAATCCCAAAATGGTAAGAAAGATTATCCTGATTTGCAATACATCAAGACACAAATTACTAGTAGAAGTTTTGGTTAAAATTAACAATGACTGATAAAGTACAGAAAATGAAAGATCTGTTGGACTTGATTGCTAATCAAGGAAATACTGGTAACAATAATACTGATGATCACTTTCTGGAAGGCAAAGTACCCCTACCGTCATGCTGTAGTATACTGGTTAATAAGTCACATTCTTTGCCAAATATCTAAGAGAAATTCGAAAAGGAGAATTATGTTCAGAGCTTTGTTAAGAGCTCATCCAGGTTTATGTTCTAAAGAAAATTTTCATTTTGTCAGTAAAACCATAAAATATACTATCCTGTACCGTAACAGATGTTGTTACAATGATGTGGCTTACAAAAATTAAATAATGTAAATATTCTGTAAGATATCAACATGACTATTCAGTTTTGTAAGACTGAAGAACAAGAAGGAATCCTAAGACAGATGCAATATAAAAGGAAAAAGCAACTTTTATTGAGCTGGAATGCAAGTGAAAAAACATACCTGAACTGTCTGTAAAAAAGGAAATATATCTATTAATTACATCTGAAGTAGTTAAATTACTTTGAACACCATTAAGATTTAAAGTGTCAAACTATTTTTAGACCTCTGTATCCTTCATACTTCCACATATATCATTCTTTAGCCATGTTAGGGGTTATATATAAGATTAAAAAGGACAGCACTTGAGGGTAGTCAATAAAGGAGAATAATCAGTAAAATAGTACATAACCTATTTTAAAGCAATTCATATAAACAACTAGAATGCACATGCATTTTGAAGTAGAATGCTTTCATGGCAGCATATTACAACTCACTATTAACTCATTTTTCCTGGTCTCCTTCATTTCTTGTTAAAACATCATTGCGATTACAAAATTAAATAACTGTACTGTAAATCCAAAAGGAAGAAAAAAATATACAAATGATATTTATACCATTAAAGGTAAGACATAGTTTTATATACTTTACAATTTCAGTCTTGGTATATAAGTTAAATTCAATGTCTATCCTCTTTAAAAAGACAATAATGGGATATACATAATTATTAAAAATAGGAAAAAAGGCAAAATTGCATTAAGGAAGAATTTATTTTTCTCATTTTTGAGATGTAATAAAGTAAGTTATTCCAAGACCAAGGAAAGCCCTTAGAAGTTTGAGAATAAAAATGACAAGCAGATCAGAAATATAAGAAAAACATGTGATAAGAAACAGGGAGGGAGACTGGACCACAAGTTTTTATAATCCATGAACAGAACAATTGGTTCTTTCTCACTTTTAGTGGATATTATAGTTAATAAAAATTTCACACAATAAAATAAGGAAGTATCTAATTAATTCAGTGCTATTCAACTCTAGCCTTCAATCAGAGTTCCTTTTCATATAAAACCAGTAGTTCTTAAAAATCTCTACATGATTCCAAATTTCTGGACCATCAGATAATATCTGTAATATCATCCAAGCAAAATAAAGATTATAGCAATACTATCCAAAGGAATAGAAAAACAGTCCCACATAATTCCTTAAATTATCATTTACTGATGTTTCCTAAAATAAATATTTCTAACAGTACAGTACATGATGTTAATCTTAGAAATTTTGAAAATATCCAGATAAACTTGATTCAGTACAACTGCTACATGACAGGTGGAGCGCATGTGGCACACACTTGCACACAAAAGGTGATTTCTAGTTATATCACATAAACCCTATAAAAAGGAACCTTATAAAGAATGCACTTACCTTCAACATTCTTCAAGGTCCAGAAATTAAACATATGATTCCTGCTAATTCTTGTTAAAAATATTAGTTTCTGACTATAATGATCAATTAAAGAAATTTAAAGTATGACCTTTTAAAGAATCATTAGCATTTTTAAAAGAAAACTTAATTTGATATACTGCCATTTAAAATATTAACATTTCTTCTTAATAAAATTTGATGTGAATATGTGGTATGGTTAAGGAAACATGATGAAAAGATGCAAAGATGAAAGACGAGATCCTTTGCTATCTAACTGGTGGACCCATTTTCTGTAATCTAATTTACCAGGCTAATATAATTCAAATTCAATGTTCACACTTAATACAAAAATTGAAAAACAGATAGTTTGGTACAGTGATAAAGAGCATAGATTCTGGAGCCAGAATGACAGAGTTGTTTGAAAGCTGGCTATACCATAAATTAGCTGTTGGACAAAATAGTTAATATCTCCACGTCTTTTCTCACTTGTAAAATAGGAATAATAAAGGTACCTACATTTCAGAGGGTCATTATTAAGATTAAGTTAAAGAAGTCACTACTTGTAAAGTGTTAAGAATGTACATGTTAAGTCTTGTTAAATAAAAAATATATACAATTATTAGAGAATCTTTCAAAAGACAGGAAGAATCTTGGCATTAATTTTCCATCATTTCACTTGTCTATCATGGCACAGTGCTGGCACACATAAACCAAAATATCCATTATGTAAAATTTTATTTTAGAATCTACAAAAATGTTCAGATGGAGTAAAAATGATCTATATTTTTTCCACTCTAAGTACCTGCTTGGTATCATAAAAACTAGTGATTTAAAAACTAACACCAAAAATTAAAGAAAAATGGTAACAATTATTTCTGAATATTTACTTTGTATTACGTTTTCCAAAGTAGGAACTTCCTAATGTCTAAGCAAGTATAGTAAATTCCATAAAAAGTACTGTAAGTAATGTTAGACCACTAACCCAATGGAAAAACTTTGATGTAGAGACCAGATAAAGAGATTTTTAAAGAGCCCAGTCAAATCTTCATGTCTACTACATTTAAAATTTAAGTAATTTTAAATTATAAAAGGACTTTTAAAGCATTTATATGTAACTTTTCAGAAATTATGTATAATAGAGTCAATGTAAATTAAGTGGTATAGTCAGATAAAATTTCAGCATCATTACAATTTAAAATTCAATAAATTCATTATCATACTTGGAGGAACTTCTTTCTGTGGCTGTTTTGTTTAAAATCATTTTTAAGAGAAATCTTTTTATATTTTGGTGAAGTTTTTATTTTTGTTTATGGATCAAAATTCTTGATCTCACAAAAACTAGTAACATACTTCTCATTAAAACATAGCCTCAAGATTGGAAGAAAATAATGCAAAATTCAATACCAAGTTCAATCCAGTTCTACAATGCTATCAATATTACATGTAAACACTGTTTTTCATCAAATTAATGCTTATTTTTTTTTTCCAAAAAGGCTGTTTAGTTTGATACTTACGGGTGCCTTTGAAGTCAAATCGAACTAAGTTTTATTCCCAGACCCATACTTCTTAACTAAATGAAGTGATCATAAGCAAAATGCTTAGTCTATTTCTTAGCCTTGGTTTCTTCATTAGGGAAATGGGTGTTTAAGTGTAGCTACCCTGTATGTGTAGTCTGAAGATTAGATTAATTCCTTGAAAACAGTCTCTTAAAATTTTAAGTGCTCAAAAGAGAGTTTCCAATAAATATTTGAGAAGTAACAAGAACAAAAATGAAACTCCTTTTTTACAGTATTATCAAGAAACATTTTAATGAAAAGGAGGCTTCATTTTCAATAGGTTAGGAGCGCATGCCAATAATGATCCAACAACAGATACACAGCACTTCGTGAAATTCAAGTTATAAAGAACTGATAATTTACTAAACCGTTTTATAATGTTCATTGCCATACCCTCACCCTCATCTGTTCCCCCTTCCAAGTATTAATCAAAATACAAAACTAAATACACTGCAAACATTTTTCAATCCTGAAGGTGGCCGTGTATGTACCCTTACCTAGCTTAGAAGACTCAGGCCTCCTGGCGTTTCTTCAGGACAAATGCAAACTATCTTTTCCTCTCACTTTTCACTGAGATGTCATGGCAAGGTGATTTTTTAAAGAAAACTGTTATTATTGTTACTGCTTTTACTTAACAGTGTCACAGACACAGATGCAAAGATTCACAGTGTGTTTCAGGTAGTAATATCAGAATTTTCAGGTAGCACAAATCCAACTGAGTATATACCAAATATAAATGGAAGAATCTTTTCTTTGACATGAAATCCACTATGAATTTTAAAACATATCTTCTAATTTAAGATTAGAAGAAAATACACACTAATCAAATAAATTAATTTCTTTTCCTATCATCTTCTAAGTTTAAAATAAAAGATTTTTTGATTACCTGGGAAAACAGACCATCACATAATTATCAGTAATAATCTGTATTTACTATTTTTTCAATATATAGATTCTAATTACTTGTAACTGTGGCTTAGGTCTGTGCCTGGAGACAAAACAATTTAAGATGATTTAAATCACTGATTAATGTTTTTAATGGTAACATAATTCTAGTTAAAAACAATCATTACTGAATTTGGAGCTTACCTGTGCATCAATATCAATGGCAGGATATATAGGAAGCATGGCTGAAGGAGAGATGATAGGACTTGGAGTTGGAGTCTGAGGTTGGGAAATGGAAGCAGCAATACTGTGGGTAGGAGTGTTTGACATTGCAGACGCTCTTCCACTGACTGCTGTTGAACAAAATAACTGCACTTAATAAGGATGAAACACATGTTAAGTAACAGTAAGAAGTAATTATTAGAAAATATTTAAATGCGTACAGGTAGACTGATAAAGCACCAAAAACCCACTTTACTAGTAATTTCTGAATTTGGACAACAATCTAAAATTACAACGATACTGAGAGTAACTCATATTCTAAATAATAACCCATCTAAAACCAAATTCTCCTTTATGTAATAAAACCTCAATTCAAAAGTCCTCAAAACAAAAATATGTTTATGAATTAAAATTAAATAGAAATACAAATGTAGCTGTCCATTATATCTTCTTAATCAGGAAAGGAATAAAAAGGTAAAACAGTCAAGTGCAGGAGAAAAATGTGATTTTTTAACCTGCCTATTTCACACCATAAATTCTAGAGCTAATTACAGTAATATCACTGTTTGGGGAGAACCTTGCTATCCAGTCTTCTAAAATGTCTCCTAATATTTTACTAATTGTAGACAGGGGGATAATAATCTGAGTTGCAGCCCTCAGTATGTAGCATAAATATAAAAATTTGATCCTCATACAGAAATACAGTTTCTCACATGTAGAATTATTCTGAGGGGGGTTAAATGCCCACCAATCAATCCAGCAACCACACTGAGTTATGAGGACAAAATAAAAAGATTAGGGTAGGAATACATATATGCAGACAATCACCCTTCTAATATAGAATATTGTTAGGTCTCTTAAATATCATTTTACCATGATATTATTTTCACCAAAATATGCAAATTGAGAACAGGCTAATTATATTAATACTTGAGGTGGGAGAACTTCAAAGGTGACGGCAGTTGAGGGTACTTTATTCCCTCATCAACTCACTTCTGGAGTTGAGATGTGAACATCAATCCTTTTTTCTCCTTTTAAAAATGCTATAGCACTAAAGTCTGGGCGTTAATCTTTGAGAGGTCAACAGTAGTGTGGATACATGTTACCAACGTAGTTAATCAACTACATCAGACAGAAAACAATCGTGATTCACTACTAGATGTGACACCAGGCAAAAGAGGTTATGATCCTGACAAGAACAAACCTGTAATGACCTTATTGTAAGAATTATAAATATGACTGTCAATTAAAAAATCTATTTTACATGAAATCCTTAGTTCAGGCACAAACATACACTATACATTATAGCAACACACATTCTATAATTATACATTTTTAAGTCCACTTAAAGCCAAAGGAAAACAAAGGAGGAAACAAAACAAAACAAAACACTGAATCTTTAGGGATCCACATCAGTAGAAAAAGGCATTTTCTAATAAGTTCATCATGTGATGACCTTGTTATTGTTACTCCATATTGAGTTTCTATGTCAAGAAAAAGATCAAGATAATTTAAATGTACATATTATAGATATAAACTTCAAAACCATATAAAATCATGGCTCTTAAAATATAGTCACTATTCTCCTTTGATAGGATTTTCACAAATGAAAATGCTAAATACAAAATTGAGCTTAAACAGAATTAACACCAATCTATCTAAAGCACTGACTTTCATTTCATGATGCTAAAGAAAAGTATCTATGCTTTACTGTTGAATGACTAAATTATTATTTACATTTCAGTAGGAAAAAGTTCTTTTAAAGAACATACCAAAATTAATTTTCTTATTTTTGGTCAAATTGGTTGTTCTTATCACCTCATCTAAAAAGAAACAGGAAAAATCAATTCACTGACTTCCTTTGGGGTACCTATGAAATTGGTGTATTAAAACTAAATAATTGCCTATATCACTCATCCATTCTCTACAGTTAAAAGTAATAACTGTAAATATGTAGGTACCTGACGGAACTCTGTTACACATCTTTACATGTGGGACTTCATTTTAGGGTTAGATTTTAGAGAGGGAGAACCAGATGCTTAGAAAAATTTTAACATCAGGTGGAAAAAGGGAACCTGGGGAGCATAGCAAAAGCAAGGTGTTAATACTTTTAAAGATGGAATTGATTTTGCTTTGTCAAATATGGAGAACATCAAAGACACAAGATTCGGCCAGCCGAAGTGTTAGAGAAAAAGATACTGAACCTTACAAGAGCAGTCTAATAAATGGGGACTAAAGAATAAAGAACAGAAATTATGCTAACGGAGGGAAGACGAGTGAGACGAATGATTTTGTAAAATATTATAAAACCCAAAGAAAGAAATGAGAATAATCATTAGTCTACTGAAAAAGCAAGTGCTACAATTAAAGAAGTTTAAAGAAAGGCTGTGGAAGTGACTATGTGAGTGTTTATGTCTGTGTATATGTATGACGACAAGAGATGGAGACCAGGTTGGGAGGCTGGATGTTTTTAGTCCTGCTCTTCCTTCTGGGCATCTCTCCTCATATAGAAATAAGCATAATAAAAAGTAAGGTACTTTTATTATATGTCAAGTATTTGTCACATTTCCACATTCCTTGAAAAGTTATGTAGTTAAAAAAAAAATTTTTATATGAAAACATCTGGAATACACAGGCATAACTTAATTGTTTTTGTTTGGTAAACAAATAAAGAAATAACTACTTTACAACCTCTGATAATTCTGATCAGCATAAAAACTGTACAACTGGCAAATCATTGTTAATAACTATGCCTGAGAACATCAGGTAAATTTTGACACCATATCCAAAATTTTAAAAATATTCATTGGCATGGAATAAATTATTCATTTAGTTGGGTAAATAACACTTAACTCTACACATTCTTTGGTAGTTCAATTGACATAATAGAAAAGCATCATTATAATCCAGATCAGTGGCCACTGAGGTAATATCATTTGGTATTTTGGGCGACTGTGCTCCAATTTTCCTATCATATGTTTTAAATCATACTCCTAGTTATTATAACCAGCTAATGGTGATTAGTAGTAATTTTCAAATATATAGAAAATTTTTATACTTATCAATACAAGAATCTTTACAGTGCTTACTAACGATGAACAGCATTCTTTCCAATGAAATTACTGCACCCTCTATGATTAGCAGAGACTTCCATTTCATGTATTATTAAAAGAGATGATACTAAAAGAAGACTGGGAAACTTTAGGGCAGTTTATAAGTAAACATTCTGTCTCATTAGCTGGTCTCTTAGTTTCTGAATGTTAGCTAAATATCGACATAACGCAATTTAGTTTTCTTTCATTATTTTAAAAGGTGATAAATTATGCATGAATCTCATAATATGTAATGCTACTAAGCAGTTTCCAAATTAGAAAATTCAATTATCTTTCAAGTATAGATCAAAGAATAAAAAAGAGGGGAGAGAACAGATAAAAATTACCAAAATTCAAATATTTACTTTGTTTTTCCTTTTTCCTTCCTTTACAAATTTTTTTTCTGTGAAGAAAATCATCCTTCTCATTATAGCATTCTTATGACTTAGAATCCTATAAAATCTCATTCTACTTCTTTGTTACAGAACTCACAGGAAATAAGTACCAAAATCTAGTACCATTAAAACAACTTTCTAAAATATTTCTTCTTGCCAATGGAACTATTTGTAATGGAATAAAATTCTTCTGGCTACACATTTAAGGATATATCATTTATGATACTGTCAGGGGACCAACACCTTCCCATAATACAATTAGAAAGATACTACACAATAACATTCATAGGCGCTAAAATCACTGACATACAGTATAATCAAACCCTATTTGATCTGGTACTTTATTATAGTTTTAAAAGTTTTTTTAAAAATACCCATCAGGTTTGAAGTCTGATCCATTAGGATAGCAACTATTTGTTCAGAAATAAGCTTCCTGATGTGTCCTACTAATTTTGTATTTCAACTTCTATCAATTTCCCAGTTTATTGGTGTGAATACAGAAGCAAAAAAGCCAGAATTCAACCCTAGTAGTCTGAACTTAAAGAGAAAAAAACAGAAATAAAAACAAAAATCAAACATCAACCCCACTACTGAGAAACCTAGATTCCCAGCTTACCCACCTAAGCCAGAAAGTTTGTCACTTGTATTGAGTGAGCTAATCTTTAATTTGACCTGTATCCATCTGAGAACTTCTGAGACTGAACTAATATTTCTAAAGATATACATGGGTCAAGAGTCCAAAAACAGTTCTCAAGTCGGGTAATGGCAAAAATTCTGGCACACTCTTACTCGCCTAAAGCAAATCATATTTGATACCTGCTCATAACAATATAAACCCACCTGCCATGATGTCATCCAGCGTGTCATTGAGGGTCTGAGCAGGGCTGGCTACCATTAACCCTTGTTGTGTTTCTGTCAGAATTCCTTGCCCCAGCCCTGCCAACTGTGCTTGGCCCAGTACTGGCTGTCCAACTATCACTCCTTGCAGTTCTGTAAGATTTGCGATGGACCCTGGAGGCAAGGGACCTGCCGCCAGAGGCAAAGCTTGAGGCATGGCCAGAGGCTGGATTGGTGCAAAACCCATCTGAGCAGCAGTCTGCTGGGGTTCATCTTTAAGCAAAACAGGATCCACTTGCTGTAACCGTGCATAGTCTCCCTCGGAAAGCTGTTCTCCAACCCCAACAGGAGTCAGTAGTCCCAGATGCTGGCAAGACTGCTGTTGCTGCTGAAGCTGAATTCTTTGAGCTTTAACCTCTAGATACTGCTTTTTTAGCTGCTGCTGAGTTTTCAGTTGTAACTCTCGTTCTACTTTCTGTAGTTCCTCCAAAATCTTTTGTTTCTTCTGAATTTGTTCCTCCCTTGTTTTGTTCAGCTCCTCAATCTTCTCCTTGGTAAGTTGGTCAGCATGAGCCAGTTCCAAGGACTGCAGCTGTGCATTCTTTTCTATGGCTTCTTTTATCCTCTGTTCCAGTTCTGTTAACTTTCCCTGAGCCTCTTCTACAATGCTCTCTGGAGACTGATTGGTGATGTAACCCTGTACATCCTGGCTGTTTGCTGGCAAATGGCTGCTGGACTTTTGTTTAGAAGCAGCTGTGTGAAAAAGAAACCCCCTCAGAAGTGCACATGAATGGCATCCTCATTACAGAGTTACTGTTGGGAGGTTTAGTGCCAACAGTTATGCACCAAGTTACCATATCCATAGGTGAAAATGCACTGTTAAGGAGTTAAAAACAAATTCACCTTCTTTATCATAAATATAAAATGTATGTATTTTATGTGCATAGAGTAATCTTGGGGAAATTAATTTCAGAATTTCTAAAATATCACATGGCTAAAATTAGACAATAGAGGGATGCAGGTTTGTGATATCTAAGTGGTACAATTAAAGTAAAATCTAAGGGTATGTGCAGATATTCACCTGTCATAAAGATGTAAAAACTTGTAAGAATAGAAAAATAATGCTAAGTTATTAAGATGTAGGGAAAAGTTAGACCTCTAAGTCAAGATTTTTCCTTATTTAATAGTCTGTGCCTTTTAAACACACACACATACACACAAAGAGGACCCAAATCACTGAGAAGTACCAAGAAACTAAAACCCAACTACAACACATCTTTGTTGGGGCCTACCATCTTGAAGAGTGATAAAGGCAAGATATAAATTCACATATTCACACAGCTACCTGGCCAGTAGAGAATGGGAATTCAGTTTCCCTGGAAGAAAAGATGCTGGACTATGTCATCCACTGTATCTTCTGACAGCCAGGTGACTAAACCGATCTGGCTAGAAGTATAGCAATCTGTTGTTTGCTATACCAATTCAAAAAGGTGCCAAGGCTCTAGACTGGTAGTAGTGATTGAAAAAGAGCTTGTGGAAATAATTAGTATTCTTGTTGGTAAAATAATATAGGTTGCCAAAACCAAAAAATTAAAACCACACTGGTCCTTCAAGTCAAACTCTTTAAAAAGAAAAAAACTGATTCAAACTGGCAGCTGTAATGTTTTGGGACATAACTTATGAACATGCATGGTATAATATCTACAAGTCAAATATGGCTCTTAGAATTCTAGAGAAACAAGCAAGCATATCTGAAGTAACTTTGAATTATTGGCTCAAAAATTATTCCAGATATAAAATCTATGTAAAACAGGTTATTCTAAAACAAAATTTAGTTCTGATCTAACTTGATTTTATGCCTTGAATCACTACAACTTTAAGTAATTTACAAATGTCATCCAACTACACCCAGCCTAACATTTTAACATGAATAGAAATGACTATTTATAAGAAATCATGGATAATCAGAACTGCATCAAAGATGAGCATCTGAATTTCTCCTGCTAATACTTTTGATTCTACCACAAATTGGTGCTATTGACTATTTTCTCTCTCAATAACATTTTCATTGTTAAAAAATTCTTTAATTATGCCAACTCAGTAAAAAAAATTTTTTTATGGAAAAATAATTTGAAATGGCTAATTTTTTTTGGTAATCTTACCATTTTTTACCAAGACAACATGTAGAAACAGGCTTTGGAAGAGTAACTGACCTTTATTCCTGATGGGAAGAGTAGTGGCAACGTTGGCAGGCGGTTTGTCAGGCTCCTGAGGTGGAACAACCATGGGCAGTGCTTGAACTGGTACACGAGGAGCCTAAAACAGAGGCAATTAATTTTATTTCTGCTTTTCTGACACACTCCATTAAAAATGTTTTAAATGAATAAATTACAAAACTTTTTCAAAATATCTTTAATATGGCATCAATCTTAGACAAGGACTTAAAAAATGTTAGTAATCAATTTCCATGACAATTTTTCACTGGACTCTGAATTCAAGTTATTCTGGTAATAAAAGAGAAAGCAAAATCATATCAATCTAGAATTTAAATGTTATACCAGATGTTCATTAACCATATCAAGTACATATATACCAAGAGAACTACATATTATGACAAAAATAATCAATCTAGTTTGAACTGGAACTATGAGCAAAAGGGGAATAAGAAGATATAGAAATTACCTTAATTTTGAATCTTACCCTATTTAAATCATGGGATGGTGGGGTTAACTGAGTGACATCTGGTGGAGGGGCTGAAAGCAAATTATTAGGGTAGTCCAAAAGATAGCAAACAACACTTGTATGGCCACCTTTTGCTGCTTCTATTAACATAGTTGAGCCATCCTATAAGAGTGGATAAGGAAGGGGAAGAAATTTTAAAAATAAGTTAATTTACAGAACCATTATAGAAGATAAAGCCAAAGGTCCCAGACACATTAAAATCTTAGGTTTAGTAAAGAACACTTTCCTCTAGTCTAATAAAACAGATGAAGATGAATACACTTAGAATGCCATTATAAATGGAACTTGTAATTGGTAATTCGTAATATTCAAGAAAGAAGAATTATTTCACAATGTTACCTGAAACACTGGAATTACCTACTTTTAAACGATGAGTAGGATCTGCCCCATGAGCCAAAAGTAGCTCCACCACTGCCAGATGACCTCCTGCACAAGCCAGGGACAGTACAGTATGGTCATTATTAGCTGTGGTTCTATTCACATTTGCTCCTGAAACAGACAAGACATGGAAAATATGTGCTGTTTCTTAAATTGTGGTAAATCATAAAGGAGAGAATAGTATAATGAAGCCCCACATACCCCTTACCCAGCTTCAATGATTATACAACACATGGCCAAACTTGTTTCACATATACCCACATCGTCTTCCCTCTTCCATCCTGGATTTTTCTAAAGCAAATCTCAAACATGATCTAATTTTGTCCATAAATATTTCAGTGTGTACTAATGAAAGATAGGCAATATTACTTATTATATACTCTTAATGTCCTAATGTAATCAGTTTTTAAAATGTAAAATAGGAAAAATTTACTGACATTTTGAATTCTTCAGTAGTAAACATGACTAAAAGCCAATAAAAATAAACCACATTGCTCTCTATGGGCTAAACATGTATAGAATTAACATGTAATAGAAAGAAATAGTAGTATCCTCTTTCTTCACTGGGAAATATCTGAGCATGAGTATTTCCCCCTCAGTATGAATTCAATACTGATTTGGAACATTGTGCTAGACAATAAGGGAAATGGAAATAAAATAGCCAGAAGAAACTAGAGTAAGATTCATTAAAATTAACCAAAGAAGAGGAGATACTGATTATGTAAATAATTTCATTCTTTGAGAATACTATAGTATAAACATACATCATAAGTGTTTGAACTGCCTATGCCTAAAATAATTTGATTGGTAAGTTATTTCTGATTTATTTTCTTTCTTTACCTATAAACAATTACAAACTTGAGATCTCCTTAGAATTTTTGGTAAGAAGGAAATGACACACATTACCTTTTAAATTGTATATGGTCTATGTAGTCCTTAATTTTATTTTGCTTTACTTTTATTGAAGTATAGTTGACACAATATTACATTATTTAAGGTGTACAATATAGTGATTTGGCAATTATATACATTACTAAATGCTCACCACAATAAGTGTAGTTGCCATCTGTCATCCTACAAAGATATAATATTACTAACTATATATGTTATGCTGACCCCATGATTAGTTTATTTTATAATCGAAAGTTTGTACCTCTTCCAATACAAATTGAAGTTTGTATCTCCTTCACCTATTTCTCCCACTTTCCACCCTTCCTCCCCTATGGCAACCAATAGTCTTTCCTCTGTGTTTATGAATCTATTTCTGTTTTATTGATTTGTTTTGTTCCTTAGATTCCACATGCAAGTGAAATCATACTTATCTTTCTCTGCCTGACTTATTTCACTTAGCATAATACCCTCTAGGGCCATCCACATTGTTGCAAATGGCAAGGTTTCATTATTATTATTATTTTTATTAAGGCATTATTGATATACACTCTTATGAAGGTTTCACATGAAAAACAATGTGGTTACTACATTCGTCCATATTATCAGGTTCCCCCATATCCCACTTAAGTCATTGTCCACCAGTGTAGTAAGATGCCAGAATCACCACTTGTCTTCTCTGTGCTACACTGTTTTCCTCATGACCCCACCCCACAAAGTTTCATTATTTTTATGGCTAAGTAATATTCCATTGTATACATGTACCACATCTCTGTCTGTCAATGGACACTTGCTTCGCATTTTGGCTATTGTAAATAACACTGAATGAACACAGGAGTGCATATATATCTTTTCAAAGTGGTGATTTGTTTTCCTTGGGTAAATTCTCAGAATTGGAATTACTGGGTCATATGGTGTTTCTATATATAGTCCTTTTATCAGTGTTGAATCAAAAGTAAAATCTTTAATCTCCTATACTTAAGAATATGATAAAATCTACAAGAAAAAAATATTTCAACTTGAATTTAAGCAATAAACACCTAAGAAATAATTTAAAGGAAATAATAATATGCTACTTTTGTCATTAAAGTTTGGTATTCAAAGTAGAATTATTGATCATGAATGGACATCTTTCCATGCATTCTGACATATTTGTCACATTTCAATTTTGAACATTTTTTTGTGCTGTATTTATGGCCACCTCTCCATATTTTACAAAGAAGGAAACTTAGGCCCAAGGGAGGAAATATAAAATAGAAAAGTGACTTGCCCTCAAGTTACTTAGTGGTGTGAAACATCATGCAAAATCTAGGTTTCAAGATAATTACATGACTAGAACAGACTTCAAATTATCTAAACCTTCTAAGTTTTACATAGAGAAATTTTTCTTTATTGAAATGTTTCTCCACAAGGGTAGTTCTCAGTATGACAAGTCTTCACAGTCTGGTACTGTTCTACGCACTGCATGTTTATCAACTGCCTACTCACAAAATCTCAGTAACATCCTCTATGTGATACTCCAAAATTTTCTTTACCCTCCAATCTCTAAATACCCAACAGTGGGGATAAACAGCCTCTGGGGAAAAAATTACTGCTTTACACACACCTACCTTTACTAATTAAGAACTGAACAGTACAAACATGACCAGCTCTTGCAGCTTTCATTAAAGGAGTTCTTCCACCTTCAGATTCATGCTCCTGTTTAAAAAACAAATACTTAATTGACATTTAATTGCTAGTGAACAATTATTCTTTTTCATGAAAATCAAAATAAAAAAAATTAGACTGATTTTTGAATCTAAATGCATTAAATATCATGCTTTAAAACAAAGCAAATTAAGGAATACATTTTTAAAATTAAAATCTCAAATTAGAAGTATCTTATACAGAAATCATTTAAAAACTATTCATGTGATTATGATGACCTCATATAAATCCACCTGTATTAATTTTCCTTCTCTTTCTACAAAAAAGATGGTGGAACTTGAACAGTGTAATAGCATTCTAGCAATCAAAATTATTAGCATCCTCATCCACTCCAATAGGTTTTCCTTTTGTAGACTTGTATTCTGTATGAATTTATGTAAGTACATCACTTCTGCTCATTTTATAGGCTTCCCATTATCTCTATTTTACCTTATCCAAAAACAAGGCTACTGATAACTTAAGTATCTCTAAGAAAATAAGATATTTACTGGAGATCGCTGGGTCTCCAACGGATGGAGGATCTATGGTGGCATTCTTGTGACTGCTGGGTAATTGAGAATGCTACTGGAGAAATTTTCAGATCTTAGAATATAAAGGTTTGGGAAAAAATAGCATTTAAAAAGTATTTTACATACATTTATATATAGTCACATCTGATGAACAACTTTTGACTATTAGGCGACACAACTAAGTTTTTCTAACGGCAATTAACAAACCAATATCACATGGTTATATGTTTCACTGCCACTGTGATAAACACTAGAAATATAGTTCTTAAAACTGAAGATGCTCAGAATCTAATAAGGGAGAAATATGTACAAAACTAACTAGACTATAACATGGAGAAAAAGACTACAATAGTAATCTAATTCAACCGTCTCACAAATGCAGAAAGAGAAGGTAAATAATTAAGTTTATGAAACTAGTTAATAGAAGAGCCTGTTTCTGTCTACATGTGGATTTGTTATAAGCTATGAACTTCTCCAGGAAAACATATTTGCTTGTTAATCTCAGCCCCATGAATATATGGTGCTTATATTTTAACTAAAACCTACCTTTCCATGTCTCACTCCTACATCCTCACAGGCTAAACTGGAAGACTATTTTCCCCCACACACATTTGCATTATGCTTCCCTACCTCTCAGGCTGTACTCATAGTAGTTCTTCTAACTGGTGTATCTATTTTAACACAACAATGCCATATCTACCTTTCTAAACCTTACCTAGCCCAAAATATAATATCTCAGATGATGTCTTTCCCTCTTCTAAGCTTCTTTACTCCTTGTACTTTCCCTATGATATCTCTTTACAATCTACCTTATAATGAGTTCAGTATTTCATCCTTCTAACTAAATTCAAAGTTATTTGAGGGAAAGGATTATTCTTATGTTTTTAACTCCTTTTAATAATTAATATTAATATTAATAATACCTGAACATACCACATACTTTTTCAGCTACAGTGAAATGCTTCTAAGCCATGTTTGTCTTTTCATACCATATCAAAAAAGCTTCTAAAAATAGCCAATTGCCTAAGAGAAAACTAACTTATTATTAACATACCTAACACAAAACTTTCCCTTTTTTGTGGGGGGCCAGAGGTAGTAGATTGAATAGCCCTGCTAACAAGGACAATAAATAATGGATACCAAATAGTATAGAAAAAAAATGACTAAATGAAATAAAGAATAGCACAAATGTCAAAATAAAGTTAGAAATAAATAAATACCTTTTGTCTATAACCTCCACATAATTTTATATTAATTTGCTGTCTTAGTTGTAAATATTAGGACTTAAAAAGTGACGTAGCTTACCAGATCTGCTCCTGCCTGAAGTAAGACATCAGCTACGTCAGTATGACCATTTTCACAGGCGTACGTTAGTGCTGTATCCCCAGTTGCTGTTGTTGCATGAACATTAGCTCCTGTAGTAGTGTTAAATAATGCACAGTAGACTTAATACAAGAATCATTAGACATAAATGATGGACACAGAAATTTCTTCTAGATAAGTCATATCTCCTCAAATCACACAAAATAGCCTTATCCATTTCTAGAAATAGAGAATATTGTCTGCATCTTTAAAAGCAAAAAAAGAAAAAAATTAGAAATAGATTGCTGTTTGAAAATAAAGTTGTAAATACTTTAAACAGTAATAAGGTAAATTACTTATTCAGAATACACACAAAAGTTTACCACATAATTTTTTTTTACATACATTCACTGTATCATAACATCAGAAAAAAAACTTTCTGCATTTTAACGTTTTTACTTAAATCATGTAAAACAACCTCCCAATGCAAAAGTGCCTACCTGCAGCTAATAAGTATTTAACCAACTCCAAATGACCCTCTTGAGCAGCTTCCATTAAAGGGGTAGAACACCCTAGTTCTATATCAGCTCCTGCCTTAATTAGAAAGTCTGCCACTTCCAGAAAGCCTCCACAGCAAGCCAGAGTCAAGGCAGTTTCTTGAGTTTCTTCTGTCTGTGCATTGATATTTGCTCCTAAAATAAAGATTGTAACTATTTAAAGAAAGTCATTAACTTATTCCAGAGATAAGCAAAACATGACTGTTTCCTCATAAACTATATTTCAAAAATGAACATTTATATTACTTTACTAAATAATAAACTGCTTCTTCTGTACTCCAGGGAGCAGTTAAAAACAAAACTATGGAACAACATCCCCTAGTCCATATTTGATGTACACAGCTAGAGTGAGATTTATTCAGCCAGAAAGTATAAATCAAGTGACATAAGGACTTAGAAAAATAAATTACATTCCCCTATAACAAAGATTCAAAAATAATGGTGATAAAGATGTTGATGATGATGATAATAGTTAACATTTAATACATTATTACTATTTGCCAGGCAATACTGAAAGCATTTTACGTTATTATTAGCTCCACTTTACAGCTAAGGGAAGTACAGCTAATTAACTTGCCTAAAGTCAAAGCATCATCACTACTACCACCAACACCATAGCTAACACTTAACAGGCACTACATGACAAACAGTGTTCAGAAAGCTTTATATATATGTATTAACTCTCACAACAACTCTTATATATGACAAAATTGAGGCACAGAAAGTTAGAAACTTGCCCTTAGGTTACAAAATTGGCAATTGGTTAAGTGACTAAATGTGCTATTACTCTTAAATTTGTCTGAACAGAAACTTTACTACTAAAAGAAATATAAAATTAGTCTACATATATGGATAGAGATGGGAGGTTACTGCTAAAGTTAAGGTATCTTAGTACAGGAAAGTAATTGAGTTTTCCCAGAACTGACTCTTGGAGAGCTTCTAACATAAGCATTGTCATCAAGTTAGTCTTTATGGCAGGATTTCCCAGTGTTTCATGAAACACTAGATATATCAAATCTTTATTAATAGATATTCTGCCCCAAGAGGAATTCTCAATATATTAGCTAGAGAAATGTTGAATCTCATATATGTCCCTACATAATCTACATCTCCAGCCACCCTTAGTTCTGTTTTTGTTGACACAGCACATAATAGCTCTGAAAGCTTGATATTAAGGTCTATTTGATTCTGTTTAGCCCAGTGTAGAAGCCATTTTTAAAGCAAATACTTCTTCATTAGTTTTCTGACAACACCTCATCACAAATCTACTAGAAAGATGAAATACAGTAATTCAATTTTGTAAAATTATAATCTGACATTTTATACATTTAGGCCTTAGTATCTTAATTGGTATGGTTACCTTGGCCTAGAAGTAATGCCACCATTTCTTCATGTCCTTCACGAGCTGCTTCCATCAGTGGTGTATAACCTTCATCATTGACCTCTTCCAGGCTAGCTCCTCTTTCAATAAGTAAAGCCGCAAGTTCCACATGCCCACCACATGCAGCCAAAGTCAATGGTGACTCAAATGAATCAGCAGGCATGTTTACTTGGGCACCACTGTCAAGAAGTAATCTAGCTACTTCAACGTGACCATCCTAATTATAATGTAATCAAAAAATTAAATCAGCACCATTAAAAAAAACTTTAAAAATATGAAGGCTTAATTATTATACAATGAAGTTTACTTATCTCCATTCAAATATGTCTACATTTAATAGCTGAGTAAGCAAGTATTAATTAATACTTAATTAAGACCTATCTATTTTTTTAAAAAAATACAGACTAGGAAATAAGAGATTGAGGATAAAAAATATGTAGAAAAATGGTACCTTCAATCAAGAAGCTTATTAGCCATCAGGGATAAAAACAGTTAAGTACATTAAGAAAGCAAGTACTCTGATATAACATTGACACTGTATGGAATAAACTTAAATGTTAAAAGGTTAAAGTTTAGAAAGGGAAAGTAGAATCTTTGTAGAAACCTTTTTTAGGACAAGCAAATTTCTGACTAGGTAGAAAAGGAAAAAATATAACACTTTTTGGAGCAGTGGGGAAATTATGCATGATGTGTTAGTGGAAAGGGAACATAATATGTACTTGGTACTTTGTTGTTCAACATTCAAATGCCAATGAATATTAAGAAAAAGAAAAATAAGTTCTCTCTTAGTGTCTTCTGTCTCTTTCATTGGTCTCCCTTTCCCACAGCTTTCCTAACTATTGGCAGCTCCAAAGTCTCTCTTTCTCTTCTTATTTTCCTCTGATAGACTTTTTCCTTCTATATGTTAACTCAAACATTTCATCTTCTTTGAATATGTCATGTCCATTTTTGCCTCTGGTGCTTGCCATATTACACAATTTCGTCTTATTATTAAGGTTACTTTGCTGTTCCTTCAGCTCAGAATTTTTGCCCTCTATAATCAACTCCTACATTTCCTTTGCAGTCTAGTTTAAAAACTCAATCTCTTACCAAGCCTCCAAATGTCTGGCTCCTACTAATATCTTTCATCTATTTATATCACTTATTTCCAAAGCATGCTGGTTAGGTCTAGTGAATATTTCATTTTAATTGCTTAATCTACATATAGGCTGTTCTTATAGTTGGGTTGGCAAGGAAGTTTTAAATTCCTAATCATGGGTATATTACTGATGTATTTTTCAAACATTATCTCATTTAATCCTTACAACAACCCTAGAGAGGGAGATTATTCTCATTTTAACAAATGGGGAACTCAAAACCTGTAAAGAAAATTTCGTTTGTTCAAAGGATAATTTACTAAAGCAAACACTATGGCAATAAGGAAAACAAAGATATTTCATGTCTTAAATGGTTATCTAATTTTTTTAGTGAGTAATTAAAATTTAACATCCTTCTAATAATCGTTATCAGAAAGAAGCTGAGATAAGAAACTTCAAACTCACTGAGGCATTTTTCTCTGTTTGGTATGTTTTCTCATAAATGCGAGTACCATTATTACCCAATTCCAAGTACAAATTCTAAAAAAAGAGTTCTTAAAAAAGGAATTCAGGGCTCAGAAGAGACCACGATAGAGGGGTAATTATGTAATACAAATAATACTCATTTCAAATTTTTAATTTATTAAATAATTTGTTTGATGAACATGTTATACTTAGTATTATGTGCACACTTTGTGGATTATATTCTCCTCTTTAACATCCTCAATCAAACTTTTAAAAAGTCACTTTTCATGCCAACTATGTAAAACCAGTATAGTCATATGAGACTAAGAAAATGAAGGTAGTGCTGTAAAGCTTCACAATGCACCTCTAATAGAAGTTAATGTTGTACAACTGGCTCTGAAAACTATTCATAATTCAGATAGCTGAGGTCCACTTCATAATAAGCCTTTGATAAACAGAATCTTGGAACCCAAGAAAAAGGCACTCAATGCACACTGTCTCTAACATATAAACTTGTTTCATGTATATACTTCACCAATCTTACCATGCAAGCCTCCATTAGAGCAGTGTGCATTTCATCTGTTTTATGCTCTTGATCTGCGCCTGCTTCCAAAAGAAATCGCACCATCTCCAGATGTCCTAAACCAAAAGTATTTAAGATTATTTAAAAAGTTTATTTGTCAAAAAAAATTACAGTATTTTGAAAAGTTATATTTAACTTATAGAAATTAAATTTATTAGCATTATACTAAGTCAGCAACAAACTACCCTTAACTGCTGAATACAAATTATACAAGTGATCTTTGCCGTTCAACTCTTTACCCCACTGCTCTAGAAACCGATGCTACTAGAATCCTTGCTCAGGTGAGCAAAAAGATGCCGTAAATCCAATATCCAGAATTTCTCCTTTACAACATTTTCAGAATCCAGGAGTGCAATAGTTATTTTACTTATGGTATGAAATAAATTAGCTTTCATGAATTAGTAGCTTGATAATAATAATAGTTATTTCTATGAGGAAATGTTTTTTGTTTTGATAATTCACAAACTTTTAGGAACAACCTGCTTGTAAGCTGAGAACTGCATATATAAAAATATTCTGGAAACAACACCATATAGTTTCCATTCATTCATTTAGGTATTTATATACATCCACAAATATACATACACACATATGCACATATATTTATGTGGTTTCAAATAAATCATATGCTTCAGTTTAGTTCAGATAAAGACACCTTTTAAAAGTAGTTACAAATTGTATTTTAAAAAGGACTTCAGATACCATGCAAGAAACAGTAGAAAAATTAATTTCTTCCCAGCTTATCTGGTATGAGCTGCAGTCAATTCTCAATCAACTAGGACTGGGGAGGTGTGGATGGTGGAAACACAGATAAAAACAGAACTAACTTTGATTAAGTATAGCATCTGCCCTATCTTGTTTTTGCAAGCTACCTTCCTCCCTTTCCTCTCGTCATTTTCCCTTCCCAAAGATCCACATCAGTGTTCGGTCTCAGCCAGAGTTCTATCCCTTATGAGCATCTCCACCTCATAAATCTATGTCCTAGAAGACCTCACCATAAAGAGTGGAAAGGGAGAGACTCCATGGATCCCTGGAAGTAGGGGATGTTCTCCACCAGCTCACTTCTATATCCAGCTTCTAATTAAAGCCTGCAAGCCCCAACCTTACAGCCCCTTTTGGAAAGCAGGGTGGGGCTCTAAGCAAAGGAGAGAGGTAGAGTTATATGCAGCTTTTCTGACCAGCTGGGACTCAGTAGTAAAATACAGCCAGTTTCAGGTTCAAAAGTATTTGTGAAAAGGGGTGAAAAGCCATGCAATCAGCCTGCCTGGAGAAGCTGCCCCAAGGCTTAATTCCTCTCCTCCTAATGAAGATTAGCCTCTGTCTAGTTAGCAAACAGAATTGGGGACATAAAGGACCTCAGCTGTGCTTCTTAACAACCATCCTTAATCTGAAAATCTGTTAACACCAGATAATCAAAAGCACTGTAGACAGAGCATATTTTTACACTTAACTTAAATTTTAGTAATTTATGTGTCTATGATCATCTTAACCATGTTTTTAACAGAAATTATTCCAGAAGACCTCACACAACCTTTGTCACTGAAACAGTGAAACAAAACAGTAACAGGTCCAGGACTAGGATAAGGCAAAGTCCTCAATGCAAAATTTAAGGAGGTATTCACTCACAAACTTGGAAGGTGAAGATCGAGCCATTGAGTGAGTGCCTCCCTAAATTTTGTACCCTTCCTTGCAAGAAGAACCTTTCCTTGATTCCTCAAGATCAAGAATTTATCACTTATTTTATGATACAAACATGGCAGAGCTGCAGATGGTATGATTATGCAGACATAAACTGCATGGAATTAGCTTTTAAAAAGGTTCCTTAGTTTATAGACATTTATCTGTCATAGAGTTTAAAAAGTGGCTCAGAGGGAGAAAGACAAGCACCAAATGATTTTCCTCATTTGTGGAGTATAACAATGAAGCAAAACTGAAGGAACAAAACAGCAGCAGACTTACAGACTCCAAGAAGGGACTAGTGGTTACCAAAAGGGAGAGGCTGGGGAGAGCTGGTGGGGAGAGAGGGAGAAGGGGATTGAGGGGTATTACAATTGGCACACATGGTGTGGGAGGGATCATGGGGAAGACAGCGTAGCACAGAGAAGGCAAATAGTGACTCTGCGGAATCTTACTACACTGATGGACAGTGACTGCAATGGGGTACGGAGGTGGGGGGACTTGATAATAAGGGTGAATGTAATAACCACATTTTTTTTCTTGTGAAACCTTCATAAGAGTATATATCATTGATATCTTAATACCAAAAAAATATTTAAAAAATAAAATATCACACACCCACTTTGTACAGCTATATATGGGTAGGTGTTCTCAATTCTAACCAGTTCTTTCCTCTAATTTCATTTAATGTGTTGACGATACTCTAAAATTGTTCTTTTGAATTTAAACTCCCTCCACACCACTTTTCATTTTTCTCATATCTCTTCCTTTCTCTTCAATTTTTCTCCTTTCTTCTTGTCATCATGGGAAATAACCTAAGCATCTTCTTGTTAACAGCTCATTCTAGCTATTTTCATTTACTTTTAAACTTACAGGCTGAACACTTCTAGATTCAATAGGATTATTCAGGCAAAATATTCCGATATGCAAACACATTAAAAATTACAGTGCATATTAAAATTAAACAACTTTCTGATAAAACAAGTGCATCAAGTAAGTCATTTCTCATTGACAATATTTATAATATTGACTCCATATTTTAAAATTTGAAACTACACTTCTAATTACAAATGAAATATTATGTTTTTTTACTTTTTATTTTAATTAAAAACCACATTACATGGGATAACTGTCATTTCACATGTTTAAAAAGTTTGTTTTAAAAAACTCTTATACTGTACCTTTGTAACAGGCTAAGGTAAGGGCACTCTCTTTAAATTCATTGGAATGCGTATTAATGCCAGCCCCATTTTCTAGCAGCAATCTGGCTACTTCCACATGTCCAGCACTTCCAGCTTCCATAAGAGGAGTATGACCATTTTCATTATGGTCCTCAATACTAGCACCGGATTCCAAGAGCACCTTTACAACATCTACATAGCCTCCAGCACAAGCATATGTAAGTGCTGTGTTGCCTATTTAAATAAATAAAAACAAAAATACATTAACATAAAATGCCTAAATAAGAGTTTACATACACACACACACACACACACATATAAAACTTCCTTTCCTCATTGCATTTTATCTTACTGAAATCAACTACCTATTCTCTCCATTGAAAATCAGGGTCAAGTACATGTGGAACATCGGATACACTAACCATGACTGTGGAGTTATAAAAGAACTGACCAATTCTAAACCCAACTTTCATTTCCAGTCTAACTTTAACCAGAAAAATGTTTTACAAGCTTTATTTTTTTATTGTAATTATTTGTCATATATAGATAATATTTTACACTTTCTTTTAATCAGACATATTTTTTGTTTTCACTGCAACTTCACAGTTAATGGATCAAAGTTATAAAGTAACATCAAAAACATTCCTTCTTAATGATAAAAATCTCAATGTTACAGGAGGAAAAAAATCAAACTTTCAAGGTAAAATAAGGACTTCTAAAACCCCTTTAAATTAGAACACTAGACCTTAAAAATTATTTAAGATATTTAATAAATTTGAAAACCCTACATGGAATACACAAAATATATTTTCATGTAATTGTAGAGCTTTTATACATGTCCACCTCTGCTCAAAACTGGAAGCAAAAAAATTGGTTTAGAATGAAGTTAGATCCCTTGTGACACACAATGTTTTCCTAACACTTTCTTTTTCTACAGGCCATATTTTAATAACAGAAGGCAATAATAAACCTGCCTTTTGTTCCATATCCTTCTTGCTCTCCCTATCATCCCTTCTTTCCCCCCCGGCAAAAATAGGAAATCTGGGTTTGAGAGCTATACTACATACCTCTCCATTTCTAAGATGGTGGTCCTGTGTTAAACCTAAAAGAAACTTAAAAGGCCAAGTAATCACCCTCATATGTAAAATAGGAGAAATTTCATTTAAAATATATTCGATATACTTCAAACCTAATGCACAGACTCATGCAAATGTACAGCACTTGCAATAAGAGAATTACAAAAGCATCACTAATGATTACCCTTCATGTGAAATAATTATCACCAAAGGGTGTTAATATTTAATGAAACTGAAAAAGAAATATGTATAACCTGTTGAAGACTGTGCATTGACATCAGCTTTATGAGCTAGCAGCAACTTCACAATTTTGACATGTCCTCCATTAGCAGCAGCCATTAAAGGTGTAATATCACCTTTGATTCCCCTATCTTCCACATTTGCATGCATTGCCAACAAAACCTTATGAAAGAAAAGTTTAAAGGATATTAGAAAACTATATTTTCAAAACAGAAGTTTTCAACACACATTTATGTTAACATCTACCAAGTCATACTAGAAAAAAAGAGCCAATAAACCACAAAATGTAACTACAAAACTATTTGTTAAAATGAGCCTAATGTTTGAGTTTTTTATTATGTTCTTACTATGCAGGAAAGATTAAAACTAAATCCATGAGCTTTATTTTGATAACACAAACCTGTGCAAGCTCATAGTATCCAGCAGAACAAGCCAAACAAAGGAGGCTCTCCCCTTCCTCGGTGTGTTCATTTACACTTCGCCCTTCAATGAGCAACTTCCGCACAGCATTTACATCTCCTTCTGAACAGGCTTCTGCCAAACTGCGGCTATTAGAGGAGAATATTGTAAGTATCAGGACATAAAGAATATAAAAAATTGCACAGCACAAGTATTTGTTTTTGAGGTTAATCTGACAGTAGTGTTAAATAAGAATGATTACTTCAATATGATCCACAACAAAAGAAAACCAAAAATGAGTTAGCTCACTGAGTTTTTTAAATCTACATATAAAAGTCACTGAATTAACATTATCAACGTAACAAAATGTTTTCAGTTATGAAACTGTCAGATAAAATTTAAATCTCTGTTAAGTGGAAAAGCCAAAAATTTTATAGGAAAACTCACGAGCAAAATACAGGTTATAATTACTTTTTTTTGTCCAGTTCACTAGAAAATTTTTTATCAAATTAAATTTAAAAAATGCCTTAATAAAATGGATACAACTTGTACTAACTATTAAGGCCTATCTAAGTCCTTCAATTAAATAAAAGGAAATCAGGAAAGTTGTAAGCATGTATAATTTTGACTAATAACTGGTATTTTATTGATGAATTTTAATGAATAAATGATGAAGAGTGTTAGGCTGGAGGAAGGAAAAACAAGGACATGCAAACAAAACAGAGATGCCATAGGAGGAGAACAGACCAGACCCCAAGGTCTGTGCCGTATACGTAAACGGGACAGCTCTTCCTGAATTCCATCCTTCTGATGTGCCAACTAAGACCCGGATGTCAGCCTCCTCCCTCTTGGAAGGAAAAAAAGTTTCTAGTTGTCTATTATGTCACCTTTAGCCAATCATACCTCTCCATGCCCCCTACGATAGCTTGCCCACTCCTCCCGCTCCTAATCCCTTATAAGCCCCTACCTCCCTTACCAGGTGTGACTTCCCCGGCCTGTGTTTCAGACCGCAGAACATCACCTGAGAGTGGCATTCAAATAAACTACCTGGCCCTTTGTTGCCTCTCTTCGCCTGCTTATTTCGACTAAAATTTATCTTACAAGGAGTATCTTTTTTTCAAGTATTTACTTCCCCATGTTTTAGGGAAGTCTCAAAAACATCCAGGCAAAGCAAAGGCTGAATTCAAGCAAAAGGAGACTGGAAAAAGTGAAGCAACAGAAAATCAGACTGAGAGTAAAGTGTACACCCTATGAACCTCCCCAAAAACAATTCCACCTTTGAACATTTCTAAAGATTCTCTCACTTTGGGGCAAAATCCATTACATGAAAAACACTAAATCCAAGGCTATTAATATTCTTTTTATTTCAAATACAACTCAATTCTTATATTGCCCTCTTAAAACATGGCTTGGTCACTTTAGCTATTAAAGGCATCCATGGATAACCTCTTATCTATGCCTCTATTACTATTACTACCTAGATTCAAGAACATCATCTTTAGCCCAGATTACAGCAAAATCCACTAGGCAGTCTCCCTGCTTTTACCCTTGCACTCCTCTAGGGTTCTTCAACCTGGTAGCCAGAGATCTTTTTAAAGCAAAGTAGATTAGGTCACTCCTCTATTCACATTCCTCCACTGGCCTCTAATTTCACTCAAAAGTCAGAATCCTTGCAAGATCTGTCCAATAGTAGGATCCAATACTCCTCATCCTTTTCACCTCTGGTTTCAACACCTACTAATTCTCACTCCTACTCTTTCCACTTTAGCCATATTGGCTTTCCTGGTTTTCATAAAAAATGCTAATTAATTCCCACTCCAAATATATGTATTTGTTATCCCTCTGCCAAGGCAGCTTCTAAGACACAGCTCACTCCTTTACCTATTTCAGGTATTTGCTAAAAAGCCACCTTTTAAGTGAGGATTTCCCTGGTCACCCTATTAAAAATGCAACATGACTTCCAACCCCAAACACTGCCCTAGCACTTTCCCATTCAATTTTTTTTTACCCCATAGCTCCTACTGTGTGCCATACAATATATCTTACCATCCTGTTGATAATATTGTCCCCAAAGTCAAGTTCGGTCTTGAACAGCACTTAATAAGATTTTAATTTCCCATTTTCTAGAACACTGACAGTCCCTAGATCTAGTATTCTCTATTACCTTCAAGGAAGTTTAGGATATATCATTCCCACAATGTACTTCCTGTATGAAAACATAGCTTTTCTTTCATGTGGTTTCTCACTCATCCTGTCTCCTCAGTCACATACCCTCCTTTACTGTTTCAGTTGGACTTTCATTCAGTTTTCATCTGTGTATGGTAGCTTTAAAACAACATTACTGGAACTACTCTAGCAACAGTTGAACTTGAGAATTAGTGAGTAAAGGATACCTTTAATGTGGCACATGGCACCACACTGAACTAAAATCCAGCACTTAGCACTTACTGCACTCTACTATATTTCTCAAGCTTGCTAAATAAATATGATTGTTAAAAACATGCTGCACTGTTTTGTTCCTAACTTCTGGTATTTTTAATGTCAAAGAATCTATGACTTCCTATTTTTCTATTCTATGTCCTGCTTGAGCTAGGTTTAATATACTTTTCAGGGTGTTTTTAATTTTCTCTCCTTCCTGACTCAGCAGACACCACATTAAAAAGTATCTAGAGAATATTGATAATATTATAAGTTATTATAATATTATATAGGGACAATAAATATAGAGTATCAATGACATTATTACAGTAAAACAAATCAATAGTATTAAAACTGAAATCAATTAAGGAACAAAACCTTAAGTTGACTAAAGGAAAGTCAATATATGAGTGAATGGTAAAATAAACTAATAAAAACACAAAAATCTATAAAATGAAGACAAAGTTAAAAGAGCAAATTCATACTCGTTAATATTACATGACCTCTCTTTTATGCTTCCAAAAGACATTGCATAAAAATACTCTTATACCGAAGACAATTCCTAAATGCTTTGTTGAAATTTCTAAACCCATATGTAAAAGAATACTTGCATTTTCTCACCTGTTTAAAGGCAATTGCTAAAATAAATAAATGACTTCTTTTTAGTTAGAGGGAAAAAAAAGGAGCCTCTGAGGAGTGAAAAAGTAACATGTACAGGCCTGCCATGGAGACAGTGTAGGTTTGGTTCCAGACCAATGCAATAAAGCAAATACCACAATAAAGTAAGTCACATGCAATTTTTTTATTCCTAGTGCATGTAAAAATTATGTTTATATAAAGTATGTATGTTTACAACAAAAATTTATGTTTAAGTATACAATAGCACTGTCTAAAAATATATAACAAAGTAATAATGAACAAGTCTGAAGTGTTGTGAGAATTACCAAAATTGACAAAGAGATACAAAGTGAATAAATGCTATTGGAAAAATGGTGCTGACAGACTTGACGGATGCACAGTTGCCACAAACCTTCAATTCATAAAAAAAAATATTATCTGTAAAGCACAATAAAGAAAAGTGCAATGAAATGCAGTATACCTCTATCAGTGATTATTTTCCAACTGATTCCCTGCAGTTCACACCCATTTTTCAACATACTATCTGTAATTGTTTCAATATATGAAATGGTGTGATTTTTATTGTGTAACATTACCAAAAAAACTTAAACAGCTAAGTCACAAAATATTTACTGAGCCCTTACTTTACTAACTGTAACGTATATATGAAAGGAATTTTAGGACATACAAAAAAGATAACGTTCCTGGGACTCACATTTAAATTAGGGGAATTAGATCTGTGATATTTCCTGAACATTCATAAAACAAATAAGAAACTTGCCCTTAATTAAAATGGTCAGAATTAAGCCACATGAACTGGAAAACAGTATAAACAGATGAATGAATAGAACAGTAAATGAATAGCAAGCTTTTACTTCTCTGTCACTAAAACATTAAAAGAAAACAAAATCTAAGTAAGCAAAAGGTCTTTTATAACACTGATTGGGAAATCAGTCTTATAGTCAGATAGATAGTGGTGTACCAACTCTGCCACTTGTTTCCTATTTGATCTTAAGTTACTCACTTCTGAGCTTTTTGTGAGTAAAAGGGGAGTTAAAAATAAACAAAACCCATCTCTAAGACTTTCTGTGAATGTAAAGATATCACATGTCAAGTGGTTAGTATACTGTCACACACAAAATAAATGCTCAGTGAATGCTAGCTATTTTTATTATTTTTAAGAAGATGTTTTCATACTGATCCTAGTGAAATGTACTTACTTGTCCGACTGCCCTGCATTTGCTGTGCTTTCAGCTCTCATACGGGTAAGTGCAGCAGCAGCTTCATCCAACGCACAACTAACAGATGATGTCAACCTCCGAAGCACTTCAGGATCTGCAAAGGCTTTACCATCAGCCGTAGATAATTTGCCTATTCCTATTATATTATTTTCATACCAACATGGATACAAACAAAAGGAGAAACATAGCAAAATACAAGTTACTTAACTGTATATGTGTTTTCAAATAATGTCCAAATGGTACATTGAAGATATATAGTCTGCCTAGAATATTTTAGGCAATCACTCTTCCCCAACTCTATAACAATCTTACTCTTTCCATGTGGTCCATAAGTGCTTGACCATGTCACTCTCTACTGCCAGAAAAGTGTGTTTGGTCTGTGCTGGGACAATTAGGGGTCTTTACTCAGACTTTTGACATAAGCTTATACAAGAAGAACCTACATTCATGAGCTACTTGGCCACTTTGATTACCACAAAGAGAAAAAGACTACCCAAAATAAGTCAACACAGAAGAGAGTAGTGAAATAGAGGCAGAGTTCTGATAAAGTTATTTTTGAATCATTGATACCAGTAGTGCCAGAAGCCAGCAATGTCCCTACACCTTTGGTAAATGCCCCCTTTTGTTTAAGAATGTTTATTTGGGCTACTATCCACTGTGACAAAAAAAATTGGGGAATCTGAACACTGACAGGGTATTTGGCAATATTAAGGAATTACTATTATTTTTTCCTTTAGATATGCAATGGAATTACGGTATTATGCAAATAATAATGCTGCATATTTTTAAAAATAATTTAGAGATACGCACTGAAGTATTTGTATGTGAAATTATATGATACTTAGATTTACTTTAACATGGGGAGTGGGAAGTTCGTAGGGTGATAATGAATAAAGATGAATAATAAATAAAGATGGACAAGACCGTCCATATGCCAATGACTGCTGAAGCTGGATGATGGATACACTGAAGGCTCATTATGCTCTTTTTGGGTTTGTATGTGACATTTTTCATTTAAAAAAGGAAGAAAATAAAGGAGAGAGTTAGAAAAGAAGTGATATAAGAGGAATAAAGGAAGGGAGGAGGGGCTAGCTTATTAGCTACTGTAAAGAAGAACAGAAAAAGTGGGAATACAGAATGAGAAAAATGAAGCAAGTATTATTAGCATTACATGGAAAAGAATTCTACTACAAAAAAGTGGCTCCTTTCAGCTGAAATCTACTTTCATGTAGCATCTTTGAACCTGGTTCTGCCTCTTGGGGTCACAGAAAACAAATCTCTCTTTTGTATTCAACCTGAGTCTCCCCACCTTCAGGAGAAACATTCCCTGTTCCTCTTGTCACATGTTTTCAAATGATTTCACTATCCTCATTTCCCTCATGTAAACCTTTACTGCAACATCAAATTTCTAGCAAATGTGAAATCATATCTCTATTATTCCATACAAATAGTTTGCTATATTCAACAACAGGACCTTGCATGTGCCTCTACCATGTTTTCATCTACATCTAGTCAAGATCCCTTTAATAATCCATTCTAGAATTTTACCGACAAAAGAAATCAAACTTGACCATGGGTCCTTCATATTTAGACACTGTGTTACAAGACATTTAATGACTGGATAGACCAAACAGTAGTGGATCAGTTTTACGCTGCAATAAAGCTGCAGTTTACATGAAGTATATACAGAATATATAACACACTGGGGTGCTAAAAAATGAACAATTAATGTTCACAGTATATTTAGGTCTACTTTCTAAAAGTTAAGAAAATGCAGTTAATTTAAATTATCAGAGATATTTAGTTATCATTCCTTTATATTTAAGATATATTATACATACATATAGTGCTAAATTTTTGATTATGTATATAATCTCTAATTAAAACACTTTCTATGGGGACAATGTATGATAGTCTACAAAAATATGATGATTCACTTTACAAGGTTTCAAGAGACAGTCTGTGACAAAAAAGTGAGGGTAATTACATACAGCCAATTCTGTTCTTCATGGTAGTTATGTTCTGTTAAGTCGCCGAAAACAGTGAATTAATGGATAGTGAACCTTTGGTCCTAAGGGAAATAGAGCTAGGTTCCTGAGAGCTTCTGGTGGCAGCATCTGTGTTGACCTATCAGTGTGTAAGCTTGTTCTATCTATGTTTTTGTTTAAAGACAACCTTATTTAATATATAGTTGACTCATTAACATTGAACCCAAGGCCAACAGCACAATAACTCATGCCAAAGAAAATATAACACATGTATTTCTCAATAAGGCACATTGCACCTTTTCACATTTAGAAACACTAGGTAACACTTCAATATTACATTTGGGGGGCATTTTAACAGTTAAATCACCAACAACAGGGACAAAAATGTGAAAAACATGGCACTAAGTAGCTCATGAAAAGGATACTTGTTTACAGTACGAGAGCTAAAACAAGAAGGCAGAGCATCACCTTATTCCACTTTAGCAGGAAATGTGTTTAAAATGACTCACATTTTTCATCACTCTGTGCATTTCTATGAAAGACTGAAAAAGTGCTGCAAGTACTAACTTTGAGGTACAAATACATTTTATCAAGTAGGTGCATTTGTAAATATGGAAATCAGGACTAATGAAAATCGACTATATAAGAAGTCCCTCTTTAGAAGACTAACAACACCATGTGGATTTTACTCTGGTAATGAAAACATCCTTTAATGAAATATTCCATGTAATCTTCTAGAAAATAATCCATTAATCTTAATGAATGGCATTATACTAAATATCCAAGATCATACATTTATAATAACAGGACTTACTAGATTTATGTACAACTTTGGAAAATTAAGTAGACTTATTGCATATGCAGTTTGCAGACTTACCTGCTGCTTCTAGTAAAGCTTCCAGTCTAGCTTGTGTTTCTGGATCTACTGTCCTGAGGTCTGCACCATCAGCAGTACCTGACAAGAGCAACTTGGAAGCGGTTTCCAGCATTGGATTTTCCAAATCATCCTGATCCAAAATGAAAGATTCCACCTAGAAAACAAATACAAAAAAGGGAGGAAGGAGGAATAAAAGGAGAAAGGGAAAGTGGGAAGAGAAATAAACAAAAAAAAAAAGGAAAAGGAGAGAAAGAATATTTTAATGTAAGTATCAATGATATAAGCAGTGCATTCCTAAATAAATTCAATAGGATACATGAGCCCAATGTTTAAAGAAAATTGTATTTGTATAAGAATTTAAGAATGTGTTTTTCATATGCAGTCTAATTTTTTTAAAACTGAAATTGTATGTATTCTTTCCTATTTTAATTTGGTGGGATGGGGTGGGGTAGAAGGAGCTTATGAGGTTAATGCTTAGACTGTGAAACCTTTGACTTGATAGAGAACCTGAATCAGTTGTTTTTAAATACTTGGCTCTCAGGACACCTTTATAAACATAAAGTACTGTATGCCCAAGGACTTTATAAGGGTTATGTTAATTAGTATCATATTAGAAATAAAACCACAGTATCAAAAAATCACATTTGTTAATATCACCACTAGTTTCATCAAAAAAGTTTTTTAAGTATTGGAAAGTTGTCGAGCCCATGCAATTGCCAAAACTAATCTGTGTTTCAAAGTTTGACTTTATCATTGGTGACGAATACTACCAATGGTTACTGACAGGCTCACTTCAATCATTTCAGGGAACATTTGCCAAATACCCAAGTTTGATAGCACAGTGTGTCTCAGTCATATTTTCCAGCAAAAATGGCTGGAAAAAAAAAGTGGCAAATTCACCTTGTACCTCAAAAAATAACACAAGTGCTCTTCCTCCAAACACCATATGCAGAAGTGCTTATGTACTTCCCATGTCACACATATAGTAATATTAAAGATCATGTATTCAAAAGTGGAGAATTTATAAAATTAGTTATTGCTTCATCAAGATCATTCTTAAAATGAAACTGGCTTTTAATTTATTTTTTTTTAACAGTGATTATATGACAATGAAGACTAACTACAATGATACTGGTATAATTTGGAGCCATAACCTAAGGGGACAGCAATTTTACTGCACCATCAGTGCAAATGTTAAAACACACCCAAAAAAAAAAAAGCAGTACCATCTTAGTATTATAATGAAAACAGTTTGGATCTCTTGGATAGCCTGAAATAGTCTCTGGGATCTTGCAGGGGCTACAGACCATACACTGAGAACCACTGACATAGTAACATACACCAGATTCAATTAAAAGAAACTTAAAGAATTAGAAAATAGCAAACTCCTAAGACATAGGCAAAAGTTTTATTTTGATATTCCTTATCATAGTGCTACTTATAAATAGATACTAAGATATATTCTTTCCTGTTTGCTGATAAAAAGTTGGTGATTATTATATAAAATACTATTAACATGATCAGGGGAAATTTATTTCACAAATATAAGGAACTTCTAACACTGTTAATAACTGAAGTAGCTATTAAAGTAATTAATAACCTAGAACACAGTTATACTCGGATCTAGTTCTAGATATTAGAAGTTAAAAAAAAAACCTTAGGGAATATATTCGTAACCATCATATCAGAAACTCTGTATTGGTCCATCTCTGAAAGTCACCTATTTAGTAACCAGGTGTAACTACTATATTTAATCAACATATATTTAATACTGAATGTTCAATTTGTGAGGAAATAATGTGTTCCCATTAAACTGATGTAGTTTAACACGAAATAACATTTCAGATTTCTAATATTTCAAGTGCAAAGACACAGAATACTCTGAAAATAATCTCTGCAAATATTTGAAATATTTCAGAAAATTTTGTAGAATATTTACTGTAACCAATCAGTAGTAACAACTGGCAAGATGGCAGAGAGTTAAGAAAAAATAAAAAATATGTACTTTTCAAATTTCAAGTTATTTTTAAAGGCAATGGTAAAACCATTAAGTGTTATATTTTAGGAAGATAATTTTTCAGCATGGCTTGGCCCAGCAAGGTGCTGACTAAAAATGACAGCATGGTAACAATTGTATTTTCTTATCTTCAACCATAGTAAGGAAGATGAGTCTTCTGGAAAAAAGTTGCTTCCCAATGAAGTTTTCTGTTACATATCTAAATTTTTCAATCCAAAGGAGAAGACAAAAGAAAGAAAACAAAGGAAATAAACATGGAAAAATGAACAAATGAAAAATAATATTTTAGATTAAAGTTTTAGAAAACAAAAGATATGAAAAGAGCAAATGCATGGTTAAGTGTCAAATAAAAAGTACAGATCAAAGGTATGAAAACTGTTCAAAGGAGATACTGCATGCAGAAATAATAATAATATGAAAGAATTTTGAGGAAAACAACTAACTGCATAAGAGAAGAAGAGAAAAAGGAATTGGTACTGGTAGACAATTATAAAATTTCTACATGCTAGAACAGAGAGTTTACTGTAGAGAAAGTCAGGAACTTAGAAATTAGCTCAAAAAGGTATTAAATTTCAATAAAAAAAATCTGTTGACACAAAGTTCCCTATGCCATGTTGTATCTTAACTAAGCCTGGTGAAAATTCACTAAGAAAAATGCATCTCAATCGCTTCATGAGGGATACTAAAGTGCAGAAATATGTTTTCTTATTGACTTCAAACTCCCCCGCAAAAGTTCTTATGTTGATTTTTCAATCCACTATTCTTAGTATATGAAAAACGTAACTTAAAAAACAGTAAATTCTAATAATTATCAAATTTCACATATATAAATTTTTTAAAAGGTGTTAGGGTGAAAGAAAATAATAGGAATGGATATATATTATATCCTCCCCTAGCCCCCGCTTAAGATTAATGAAGAAGACACTCATTTCAAGGACACTGTTAGGATCTAAAGTCCTAGGTACCATATTACTGGTTCAGCTGCTATGTGTGAGACCTCAGGTCTTTCAGCCGAATCTAAACCCTTATGCAGCACAACTTTTTTCATAAATTTATCACCATGACTTATATTTACTGCCTTTCTAAACTCCATGGAGACAGGGACTTTGCTTTGTTCACTGACCTACAACCAGTACTACAGGTATGCTCACCATATTGTCAGGACTCAAATAATTCTTGAATAAATAAGAGACGGTTTGGGGATCCTTCCATTTCAGATTCTAAAAGGCTGTAGTGCATTTGGAGGAGGGAAGGTTAGGTTACAAAAAATAAACATTTTTATAAATAAAGAAAAATTGTACATTAAATACTAGGTAGGGCAAAGTGCTATTTTCATTGGTTTATTAAACACACTTTTATTACAAACAGTCTTTGTGCAAGAGATAGTACTATTTACTACAATGGGGAATACAGAGATGTGTAAAATCAACTTAGATATAAGGAAAGGTCTCATTTCCTTAATGAGAAAGCCAAACTACATGCAACAATGAACAATAATAGACGGTAGAAAGGGAATAAGTGCTTAAGGTAAAGAGTGAGAAAAATGTGCTACATAAGTTCAGACGAGGAAATAGAGGATAATTTCCTCTAACACCAACTCCTCTTTTCCCAAGTGGAAGGATTCTTGTGCAACAGTACAGAACAAGCAGAGAGAAATCTACATAAGACACAGTCTTATAAAAATAAAAAAATAATTCTTTATTCAAATATAAACTAAGCTATGGGCATATAACTCTACCAATGTCCTCAGTTGAGGTAAAATGCAATTTCCCACTGAAACCTAGCTTATTTTTATTATGTCATTTCTACAGATAAAAAAAAAATCATTTTGAATCACAGCCAAGTTCCAGAACACTAAAAAATCACCTAGATAAGAAATTCACATACATTATTTTGAAACATTAAAAAAAAATGAAATGTATAACTTCTAGGAAGAGAGGAGAGAAACATAAGGGTGTTCTCATTAAATTTACTACCTAAGGGAAATAAACTATCAAAAGATATCAATATTCAAAGCATGACAGGTTATATTTAAACTATTTTGGATATGCTGTTTTGATCAGCTGGGCATTTTTATGAAGTGGTGCTTTTGCATCAATTCTTGTCTAACATAAAGAACATTCAAAATTCAAGGGCCATAGAAATCACCAGATTCAATTCATGGGGGGAATAAAGCACAAGGACCCTTAAATAGCAGGTTTCTACATACCTAGCTCCGAGAGAACAGTTACCCAGTTAACTAGTTCAATATAATTTCCACTCGAAAATTCCATGCTGGAGTAAAAAAAAAGGTTATTTCACTCTGCTCTAGAAAAGCTGACTTTAAATTTTATGTTTAGGGATAAAGCTGTCACAACTTGAATCCATTGTTCACTGAAGTAAGACAACTGAACCTTTATATGCCCTCTGATCTATACAACATAAAATACACAGCACCTCCTATTAGATATTTTTTGTCCCCTCCCCAAAATAAGCAATAATTTAAGAGACCTTAAAAATAACTCCCAGTTTATAAAAATTCATAAGACAAATATTAGGAACAAGCTAAATCAATGTTTCTCAATCTCAGCACTACTAACATTTTGGGTCAGATTAATTCTTTATTGTTGGGGGCTCTCCAGTACACTCAAGGTATTTAGCAGTACCCTGTGCCTCTAACCAACTGGATGCCAGTAGCAAACCTACCACAGGTTATGACAACAAAAATATCTCCAGACATTGCCAAATGTCCCCTTGGAGGAAAAACAAATAAAAAATGTCTGGGGGTGGGAAGGTGAAAACCACTGAGTTAAACAAAAGCAACAGCCAAATCTAAAATGCGGAATACATTTTTTTTTTTAAAAGGAGAATAAGAGAAAGAGAAAGTAAAATAACTTTTCTAAATTAAAGAGAATCCAGGGATATTATCAGCAAAATAATATAAACCTTATTTGAAATTGTCAAGACAAGTGAAGAAATCTGTATATGAACTGGGTATTAGATGGTATAAAGGAATTACTCTGATTAGCTAAGAAAACGCCCTTATGTTTTAGAGAGGCATACTGCAGTATATATGAATAGTGCCAGGAATCTGCCAAAAAATATTTCAGGAAAACACAACTGTGTGGCAAAATCTTGATAATGTTGAATCTCAGAGA